ATTTCCAGAAGTAAAGAAGAGTTTTGAGAACTGCATTAATTTTGATGATTTTGGTCCCAATTCCCTCAGGCTTAGGGGAAACAGGGACCATGAAATTCAAAAAATATTTTTTCCCAAAGATGCTACATGTATATATTAAAATTGGTTGAAACTGGTTTAGCAGTTAGAGAGGAAAAAGTTTAAAATGTTGAAATGGACAACTCTCATGATGCAAATAACAGAATGGAGGCCCAGGGGTTTAATGGTCTAGCAGCTGAGTCATTTACGATCAGGCCTTGGGGCCATAAAACTTAGACGAGCTCACTTTTGATTTCAGTCTCACTTTTTCCAAAGGAATTTTAAAATTGTGGAAAAGTGAGACTGAGATCAAAAGTGAGCTCGTCTAACTTTTATGGCCCCCAGGCCAGTGGTATCAAATAAAAGAGGAATAACCTCGCTGGTTAGATTAAAAATATTTCCCTACATAATTAACAGAATCCTGTCCTAAAACCAATGCTCCTGGACCAGTGATTATGAAAAAACCTTACTAATTGCATTTTTTCACAATTTTTTCAGTGAACCCTTTCCCAACTCCAGAATCTGTGATCTTGGACCATGAGTTCATAACAATTCGAGGTAGAGGCACCCTTGCTCATCAACAGGTTCTTGATGTTTTTTTATTGGTAAAAATACCACCACATTAATTAATAGATAATTAAAGTATCTGGACATTTTATCAATGAAGAGAGATGATTATATTATCAAAGTGTGTTTATGGTCATTATAAGCATGTCAAATATATTTACAGCTAAGGAAGATATTGAATGAAATATTTTATTAGGCCACCTGAGTTACTCAGGTGACCTATTGCTATCCGTTTTTGTCCGTCGTCGTCCGTCGTGCGTCGTGTGTTAACATTTGAACATTTTCAGCTTCTTCTCTGAAACCACTGAACCAATTTTCACCAAATTTGGTATACAGCATCTATGGGTAAAGGGAAACAAAAATTGTGAATTTCATTGTCCCCATCCCCCTGGGGCCTGAGGGGTGGGACCAAAACCACTAAAATTATTGCAATCTTTAAAAATCTTCTTCTTTACTCCTGGACATCAAGCAGGCAAACTGTTGGCATGAATGTAATGAGCATTGGGTCCTCTACCAAAATTGTGAAATTCATAGCCCCAGGGTCAGGGGTTCTAGTGCTAGTGTGGGGCTATATAGATTATGTAGTGAAGATGTATTATTTCTTTGAAAATCTTATTTTCTGCTCCTGGGTATTAAATAAACTAAGTACACAGTTATAATGAGCAAGAGTGCTTCTTCCAGATTTGTGAATTTTATGGCCCCAGGGTCAGGGGTTCTGGTGTTAGGGCGGGGCTCTATAGATTATATAGTGAAAATGCATTTATTCTTTGAAAATCTTCTTCTCTGCTTCTGGTTATTAGATAAACTAACTAAGCACATACATGAAGTTATGATGAGCAAGAGTGCCACTTTCAAAATTGTGAATTTTATGGCCCCAGGGTCAGGGGTTCTGGTGTTAGGGCAGGGCTCTATTGATCATATAGTGAAAATGCATTAATTCTTTGAAAATCGTCTATCCTGCTTCTGGGATTAGATAAACTAACTAAGCACATCGTTATGATGAGAAAGAGTGCCTCTTCTAAAATTGTGAATTTTATGACCCCAGGGTCAGAGGTTCTGGTGTTAGGGCAGGGCTCTATTGATTATATGGTGAAAATGCATTATTCTTTGAAAATCTTCTTCTCTGCTTGGTATTAAATAAACTAACTAAGTACATAGTTATGATGAGCAAGAATGACTCTTCCAAAATTTTGAATTTTATGGCCCCAGGGATAGGGGTTCTGGTGTTAGGGCGGGGCTCTATTAATTATAGTAAAAATACATGAATTCTTTGGAAATATTTTCCTTTGTTTCTGGGTTTTAAGCCAATGATCCAAGTATATATATTTAGAATGAAGAAAGGTGCATCTAGCAAAGTGGTTTTTTTATGCCCCCTGGGTCAGAGGGTTGGGGGTGGTGGTGGGGGTTACATAGTCTGAAAATAAATTAATGCTTTGAAATCTTCTCTTTGGTATTAATCAACCATTTTATGATAAAATTTTGAAACATGTGGCCCGTGGGTCAATGGTTTCTTTTGGGATGTGGTGCACAACTGGGTATAAAGTGGAAGTGCAGTTTCTCTTTATTACTCTGATCTACCTCTGGGTATTAAGTAAATAGAGTAAGCATGCTAAGTTAATAATAATTATAATAATGGTGCCTCTTTCAAAATTGTGAATTGTGAATATCATGGCCTCTGGTTTAAAACATGAACCAAATTTAATTGTTTGAAAGTTGTTACTCAATACTCAGGTGACCTATGAGACCCGTGGGCCTCTTGTATTTAATGTATGATCAATAGTTAGTCCTAACACCATCAGATGAAAACTAATAGAAATAATTAGCTTAGTGACTCAGATGAACTAATATTAAGGAAAATAAGTTATAAATATTCTATTGGAGTTTTTCTTCTGTCCTAATTAGGATAAGGTAATTTACCAGTAATCAGTTTCAGCCTACAGTTTCATCAACTCATATAGTAATTAACTATGTATTCTTGACCTCTTTTATCAAAGAAGAGGCCCATGGGCCACATCGCTCACCTGAGCACCTTTGGTCGGCCATTGTGGCCCCGCCCTACCCCTGGGGGTCATGATTTGAACAAACTTGATTGTACACTACCTGAGGATGCTTTCATATAAATATGATCAGTCATGGCTTGGCTGTTCTTGAGAAGAAGATTTTTAAAGAATTTTCCTTTATATTTCTATGTAAAAATTTGGTCGGCCATTGTGGCCCCACCCTACCCCGGTGTCATATAATATATTGAACCCCGCGATATTTTGAACCCGGGTTCAAAATATCGCTGCGAAATATTGAACCCCCCTATAAAATATTGAACCCGGGGTTCAAAATATTATGGCCATAAAATATTGAGTCCCCCTGCCCTTTTAATTTTACAGGGAGGGGGGTTCAAAATATTAAGGCCATAAAATATTGAGTCCCCCTGCCCATTTAATTTTTCAGTTAGGGGGGTTCAAAATATTATGGCCATAAAATATCGAGTTCCCAACCCATTTAAATTTACAGGGAGGGGGGTTCAAAATATTATGGCCATAAAATATTGACCCCCCCCCTCCTATAAATTTAAGAGGGAGGGGGTTCAAAATATGGCCATAAAATATCGAGTCCCCTACTTATTTAAATTTACAGGGAGGGAGGGGGGTCAAAATATTATGGCCATAATATTTTGAACCCCCTCCTCTTAAATTTGAAGGACAGGGGGGTTCAATATTTTATGGCCATAATATTTTGAACCCCCCTCCCTGTAAATTTAAATGGGTTGGGGACTCGATATTTTATGGCCATAATATTTTGAACCCCCTCCCTGTAAAATTAAATGGGCAGGGGGACTCAATATTTTATGGCCATAATATTTTGAACCCCCTCCCTTATAAATTAAAAGGGCGGGGGACTTGATATTTTATGGCCATAATATTTTGAACCCCCCTCCCTGTAAAATTAAATGGGCAGGGGGACTCAGTATTTTATGGCCATAATATTTTGAACCCCCTAGCTCTCAAATGAAAAAGGTAGGGGTTCAATATTTTATAAGGGGGTTCAATATATCGCAGTGAAAAAGTGAACCCGGGTTCAAAATATTATGCGATAAATTGAACCCGGGTTCAATATATCGCGGTATCAAAATATTATGCTACACCGGGGGGTCATGATTTGAACAAACTTGAATTTACACTACCTGAGGATGCTTCCCCATAAGTTTCATCTTTCCTGGCACAGTGGTTCTTGAGAAGAAGATTTTTAAAACATACCACCAAATTTTCATTAATTCTCAATTATCTCCCCTTGAATGAGGGCGTTGCCCTTCATTTGAACAAACTTGAATCCCCTTCACCCAAGGATGCTTTGTGGCAAGTTTGGTTGAAATTGGCCCAGGGGTTCTTGAGAAGAAGTCTAAATTGTGAAAAGTTTACAGACAGACAGACTGACGGACAGACAGACGGACGCCGGACAAAATGTGATCAGAAAAGCTCACTTGAGCCTTCGATTCAGGTGAGCTAAAAATAAAGTGAATATTAATACAAGTGTTTAAACACCTTTCTTAATCCAGAAATAGACCAGTTATTTCCTTAGCCGCCATATTGTAGGGCAAGAATCCCAGATCCCTTCATTATTCAACCAAGTTGAATTTGTTACACCGGTTACTGAGGTAAAGATAACACTATTTTTCTTATGATTATAGGTTTATTAAATCCTCTATTAATTCATAATTTTAAAATTGTAAATATTTTCCCCCATATATTTCTTGCATGCATGATTAATATTGGTTACTCAAAGAGAAAATTTCACTACTTTGCCCTACAAGATGGTGGCCAAGGGGAATAACTCCTAGGCAAAATATGTCATAAGAAAAGGGTCTATTAACAGTTGCTTACAAGTGCTGCAGAAAAAATATGTACCCACATATGCAGGTTATGTAGGACTATATTTTTTCTGCGGTGGTTGCAATTAAAAAGCTAAATTCTAACTACCATCTTTGCAATTTAAACAACCTTGGTTTCCTGTGTTAATTCATTTATTTGGTAAAATTATCTTCAGTTGATTTTAGAATATTTTCATAATTATGCTGATTTGCTTTCAACAAAAATTCAAGCCATTTCTGTTCATTTTCTCCTGCCATGTGAGTTGATCTGAAAGAAAAAAAGAAAATTGTAAGCAAACTAGTGGTGAATGACAATAAAATATGAGTCAAACTTTTAAAAATGTAAAATAAATATACAAAGCCATTCAGCCCTGTCTTTATTTAATTCAGAACTTTTGTTTTTCTTTATACTTGTGATGTAGTACCTTATGAACTCTAAAATTGTCTTCTGTGTGTCAAACAAGGTTTTTGCCTACAAAAGAATAGATATTTAACAGCCTTAGAACCAAATAAAACCAATAAATGTATAATGATTCCAACAAAAGGTCACTGATGTCAGTATCTCATAACAAGATCTACACCTAAAATAGTATTTATAACTACTTTGACAATTTGTATTCTGTTACCCAACGAGAAAAAGACTTTATCGTCTGACAATATTGGTTCACACATAGTTTATGATCTGGACAGATAACTTATGGAAACACAAAATAGAATAGATCATTGACCTAACAATTCATTTCAGTGGTTGATTTATTGCTACCTTTTCCTGAACTTTCTCCCTGACCATTGGGGGATACAGGTCCAGAATCAGGTCATCCACTGCGGGGCTCAGCCTCTCCGATAGGTCGGCCAATTTGTCCAGTTCCTGAATCTCCGTAGACTGCTGAGTCTGTCCGTTTGTCTGGACACACTCTGTGGTTTTCTTCAGCAGTGATTTGGTGGTTTTGATGAGGCCCACGCAGGGTTTAGCGACAGTTTTGTCTGATTCTGTCCACTGTGGACCCTCCTCTTCCCCCTCAGACCCAAACAGTCCATCAGAAGAACCCCCCTCCTCTATCGCCTGTAATGTCAAAGTGGAGAATAAAGCAGAGAAGATCTTCAGCATTTCTCAGTAAAAGAAAGTGTTATCTCAAACATAACTGTATTAAACCAAAACTAGAACTGTCCAAACGGGACAAAATACCCTCGCTGGGTTTTTTCAGAAGTAAGTTTTTCCATAATAAAGATATGTATCACACATGAATTATGAAATTTTTCTTCCAGTGACCTTGAACTTCCCCAAATGACCTTGGGTCAAGGTCATGACATACAATTGGGTCATGGGCAATCTTTGTGTGAAATGAGAACCTACCAAGTTTATCAATAAGAAAGATATGGAACGGACATGAATTATGAACTTTTTCTTCCAGTGACCTTGAACTTTCCCAAATGACCTTGGGTCAAGGTCATGACAAACCCTTGGGTCATGGGCAATCCTTGTGTAGAATGAGAACCTACCAAGTTTATCCATAAAAAAGACGTAGACCGGACACGAATTATGAACTTTTTCTTCCAGTGACCTTGAACTTCCCCAAATGAACTTGGGTCAAGGTCTTGACACACCCTTGGGTCAAGGTCAGTCTTTGTGTGAATTGGGAACCTACCAAATTTATCCATAAGAAAGATATGGACCAGACACAAATTATGAAAATTTTCTTCCAGTCACCTTGAACTTCCCCAAATGACCTTGGGTCATGGTCATGACACACCCTTAGATCATGGACAATCTTTGCGTGAAATGAGAACCTACCAAGTTGATCAATACAAAAGACGTAGACCGGACACAAATTATGAACTTTTTCTTCCAGTGACCTTGAACTTCCCCAAATGAACTTGGGTCAAGGTCAATCTTTGTGTGAATTGAGAAACTACCAAATTTATCCATAAGAAAGATATGGACCAGACACAAATTATGAAAATTTTCTTCCAGTCACCTTGAACTTCCCCAAATGCCTTGGGTCAAGGTCATGACACACCCTTAGATCATGGACAATCTTTGCGTGAAATGAGAACCTACCAAGTTTATCCATAAGAAAGATATGCACCGAACACGAATTATGAACTTTTTCTTCCAGTGACCTTGAATTTCCCCAAATGACCTTGGGTCAAGGTCATGACAAACCCTTGGGTCATGGGCAATCCTTGTGTAGAATGAGAACCTACCAAGTTTATCCATAAAAAAGACGTAGACCGGACACGAATTATGAACTTTTTCTTCCAGTGACCTTGAACTTCCCCAAATGAACTTGGGTCAAGGTCAATCTTTGTGTGAATTGAGAAACTACCAAATTTATCCATAAGAAAGATATGGACCAGACACAAATTATGAAAATTTTCTTCCAGTCACCTTGAACTTCCCCAAATGACCTTGGGTCATGGTCATGACAAACCCTTAGATCATGGACAATCTTTGCGTGAAATGAGAACCTACCAAGTTTATCAATAAGAAAGATATGGACCGGACACGAATTATGAACTTTTTCTTCCAGTGACCTTGAACTTCCTCAAGTGACCTTGGGTCAAGGTCATGACACACCCTTGGGTCATGGGCAATCTTTGCATGAAATGAGAACCTACCAAGTTTATCCATAAAAAAGATGTAGACTGGACACGAATTATGAAATGTTTATTCCAGTGACCTTGAACTTCCCCAAATGACCTTGGGTCAAGGTCATGACACACCCTTGGGTCATGGGCAATCTTTGTGTGAAATGAGAACTTACCAAGTTTATCCATAAGAACAGTGTACGAAATTCCCGTCCGCCCGCACGCCCGAGACGTACTAAATCGGGAGCGGACGCATAAACTTTGCTCTGCATCAGCCCGCTTGGACGCACTACTTTTACCCCATTCTCACCATTTTTGCAGATTTAAATGTTTTGACGAAGTAAAGACCAAATATTTCAACGAACAGAGTTAGGCATTATTCCCCCAGACAACAAGAAATAAACAATAATTGATCGATAAATCTGTAAATATATAAAGAACACCACCATCGTATTTTAACCTGAATTTCCTCTGTTTTCACACATGAAAAGATATTTTCAACTTTCCACTGGTATATTGTGCATTTCTTTAAGGTAATTCCACCCTCCTATGATGTCATAGGTTTTTGCAAAAACTGTAATTAGTTTAAATTCGTACCTTATAGAGAAATATCTCTTGGAAGAATGCTTTACAATAGGTGTAATGATAAATATTGTTTAAATAAAAAGAATTCAAAAAATGCATATTTTCTATATTTAATCAATTATTCAATCTTTAAATAATGTTTACAAGGGCAATAACTCCTTCTAAGGTCTCTTCATTCAGGCATTTGCTTTTCTGTAAATAGTTTACCTGATATTCTCAATTCAAAAGTATCTTTTAAGTAGGAAGTATTTAAGAACACTCAGCATCAGAATTATGCATATTTACCAGTTTTTACATATTTTTCTCAATACTTTTCACAAAAAATGTACAATTTTTTGATGTTGACATACACTTCTGTTTATTTTTGTTTTGCATCTTAATTAATATGGTGACCTATACATTTTTTGCAATAAATGGAAAGTTTAAAGTATATTGAATGAAAATATATGCAGTTTTTGTACTTTGAACCTATAAAATTGTGAGGGAGGAAATTCCTTAACTTAAAGGGTCAGATTTAAACCAAACACATTGACATGTGCATATTTATATGAATTCATTAGTATTAATATTTGTATAATTATCATGGCGTTTATAACATGTTATAAAGACAACGCTAGTGTACTAAATTATTCAACACTGTTCAATTTGATTACAATATGAACTTTCATCCAACGTTTGTCAACTGAAGGGTAGCTCGCTGTCCTTTTATTCAATGTTGTTTTAACTGATTTTTGTTTTTATTAATTCAAAAATAAACTTACATAATTTTAAATCATAGCATAATATTTTTACTTCTTTAAAATTTCTTTATATCAATAATTTAATAGAGATGCTTAAAATCTAACACACTCAATTTATTTAATTTTTTTATTTCAGAATGCGGGCTTGCTAATTTTCAGCAGGGCTGACTGACTTTTTGAGTAGTCAGCCCTGTTGGTCCACCTAATTTTTTTCCAAGTTTCGTACACTGATAAGAAAGATATGGACAGGACACGAATTATGAACTTTTTCTTCCAGTGACCTTGAACTTCCCCAAATGACCTTGGTCAAGGTCATGACACACCCTTAGGTCATGGGCAATCTTTGTGTGGAGTAGTAGATTCTAATGTTCCTCCGTAAGAAAGATATGGACCGGACACGTTTGCATTAGACAGACGAACAGACGGACAAGGTGATTCCTATATACCCCCCCAAACTTCGTTTGCGGGGGGTATAAATATGTTGAAGTCAGGGGCTTTAACTTCTGATGCAATGAATTCAATACTGACATTTATTACAGTGGAAAGTTTTAATAATTTCACCATGTTCAAGATATCAAAATTAGATTCTTAAATTTTTTTTCCATAAAAATGGTCATAAAATCTTTCTCAAAGAATATGTGCTATTATAGAAATAACATTTACTCATAGATCTCCATGCATCTTAAATCAGCACAATCATATTATTGATCCTTTTTATTTCTAGCTTTTCTCAACAAAGATGTTTCTGCCCCATCTACCTGCTCTAGCTCTGTTAAAGCATCCCTGATCAGCTGGGAGGATATCTTCAGTTCCTGAATGACAGCTTCCCTGTTATCTAAAGAGGAAAATGAAATCATAGTTTTATATCTTGTAATCAACTTGATCCCCCTTATCCTTCATATAATGAAATACTGTGTAAAGAGTGAGTTAAATTATTTATAAGTCCTCTGATTTCATTAACAATCATTTTTAAAACACATTTTGCACTTTCTATGGTTGATACAATGACCTTGTTTGCAAATAAAATATCTTGTTGGGTCCAATCTTTCATACAAATTGCCAGGCCATTATTTTCACACTCTATCATCTACATATATTTTTTCTGTTTACCTAATCAGGAAACATGATGGGTGTGACCAGTTTACAGGGGATGCTTTCTCCTTCTTCCCAACCCCTGTTTTCAGTGATACATGTTGACTCTGCTCACAATTTATAATGTTTAATTGCTATTTGTTATCTTCATATTTTACTTTATCTAATCAAAAATCCATAACTTTTTTGTCTTTAAACCTTTGCTATTCTAAGGATCTCCAAAAAAATTAATGAAATCATTTTTAACTACCAGTTATGGAATACACGAGGGATTTTGAATTATTCCTTACTCTTTGGAATTCTAACAAAAAGATCAGCCTCCTGCCAAACAGCTCCTGTTGACTGCAGCTGTTGCTGGTTACTGTAAAATGAAAACAAGTACAGACATTATCATTAAAATGAATAGAAAATCAAGTTAAATATAGAACCAACAGGAGTTTCCTTTACCCACGACATCCCTCATGGATACTGGATATCAGCTCCCTCAAGCTGTCCAGCAGGGAAAGCACGGCTTCTCTTGTTGATTTCTGTAACCTCATACCTAAACAACAACAGACTACATGTCACATGTGTGTATTAAAAGTACAATGCATAAAATATTTTTGTTTAGTACATGTAATTCAAATATGACAGAGTTTATTTATGATCTCCTCAGAGGAGGAGATGAAAATATTTTCTTTAAACTTAAACTTTTAACTTTAAAGAGAATATGAGTATATGACAATAATGGAATCATGGTAATAGTTGATTATAAAAATAAATCTTCAAACCTTGTGATATTGGCAGGGAGTAGAATACTGAAACAAGAGCCAGTGTTGCTTTTTCTGCAGAACTAAACAGTGAAGTGCATTCCTAAAAATAAAAAAAAAATCAGAAAAGTCTTTCCAAGACAGCAAATCAAGTTCACAAGCTGCATTCAATCTTGCTTAAGCATTGATAAGACTTAATACATATATTAAACAATTAAGATGCTACACTTTGTGTTTATGTATGTCTATAAGAATTAGAGATTGTATGAAGATTGAAGAAGTCGAAAATCTTCAAGTACTTTAGATTTATAAGTATACTTACAGGTCTAACTTAACTGACAGTGGAAAGTATGCAAAGACACAAGTCCTGCAATGATATTGCACTTTACTACATGAAGAAGAATGTTACCTTTTCTGATGGCACTGGACTCCCACTAAAGGCCAAGGATATCTTTGTGGCTTCATGTGATATTATTTTAAATACATTCTCTGTAAATAAAGTTAATCAAATGAATTATTCATTTGACATATTCATATTAATTGATGGTTTTACAATCCATTTTTCTAATGGTATGTAAAGAATAACAGTTTGTTTATATGAAATTGAATTATTTGAATGATATTGAATGAAATTGAATGATACACTGTATCATTATTAATGATCAATATAATCACAAAATCAGCCCTACCCATTCTGGACCAGAGTTTGTCAGCATCAAATTCTCCGTCTTCTCGGTGTGAAGAGCTTCCATCTTAAATTCATTTTAAAAAATATATGTTTAGGCTAGCCATATCATTGCTAGTTCAGATTTTCCAAACAGAATAGTTTAGCACAGATAACATTATTTAGTTTAGAGCAGATTGGTAACTTTAAACTTTAAAAGCATTTGATGTTCATGAAAACAAATTTTAAAAGAAAATTCCACTTAAAATAGTCTTTAAAATTTATGTATTAAAGAATTTAGGTGGCTTGGCTGTGTCACCTCTGATCTGCTGTCTTGCTAAGTCAATATTTTGTAGAAAACTGGAAATAGGTGATCCATGTGATACATTTTCAGCCATGATGTTTACATCGGAACTTGTATATTTTGTGTAAAATCCAAACACATAATTTTTTTTATCCGAAAAAAAACCCAACTAAATTATCTTTTTGGATGAAACATATGGAGAAAAATTACTGGATATTAAAACAAGAATTTTACTCTTAATTAAAGCAATGTTGGGGTCCCAATTCGATTCTGAAGATTGTGCAGTTTACAAGGATATTGACATTGAAGACTATTCCGGAACTGTTAATTCTTTCAGTCCCAGGTTTTAAATGTTTGTCACAGAAACATGGCGGATGAAGAGTTAGAAGCACTGAGGGCCCAAAGAATGGCCCAATTACAGTCCCAATATGGGGTAAAATGTCATCACTTTTAAATAAGGAGTAAACAGATACTCTAAATACTGAAAAGAGAATTAAAAAAAGCACAGCAATGAAATATTTCAAGTGTAACAGTATTTTATAAACGGTTACACATGCTACATTCTAGAATTTGCTGTATCATGTATAGGTAATGGTTACTTACTGAAGTTACTGAATGCGTACAATAAATGTAACATCTAAAGTAGACCATCATCAAAGTAATGTGTCAGTGCAAATGGTGGTGGTGGTGGTTGGGGAGGGGGGGATAAGTTCCCTAATTAACACAAGAATTTCAAAAAAAAAAACTATTGAAGTATGTATAAACAAATTATTCAAAGATAAATTTACTTGCATGCATGTCAATTATTGCTGTAAAATCACATATTTTTGTGAGATCAAATTTTTGTGGTTTACGGAAAAGATATGGGTTCATGGGAATTTCATTTTGTGGAAGCACAGATGCTTGTTTCATACAGTACGTTAGTTTTCTACTTTATAAAATAGTAGAAAACTAACGTGCTATATGAAAGAAACGCCTGTGCATGGAAAAAGAATTATTGAGTAGTAATATACTGTAGAAGTACTTTTTTTTGCGTGGTATTAATGTACGCAGTCACAAATTTTCCGTGGAAATTTGTCCAAGCGTTTTTAATATGAATGTAAGGCATATAGTGACAGTCTAGGAAATCCGCGTAATTTTCTACTCGCGGATTAAACAGAAATTGAGATTCCGCGGAATTATGACCCTGTTGAAAAAAGTACGTCTACAGTATGTGAAAAATTACATTTCATGGTGGACGTAAATTCTTTGGTCTCCTCATGCCTTGAAAACCACGAAAATTACCCCCCACCCACCCACCCCCGAAAATCAATGATTTAACTACTCAAGTCTTCATGTGGGAATAGAAATTATCAGCTATCCAATTTACTTTAATTTGTAAAACAAGTAAAGCCCTTTTATCAAGTTGATCCAAAGATATATAGACTTTGTCAGAAGTTTAATGTGCTTTTCAGTCAAGTTGAGATATCATTTGTCATTTTATTTTTTATATAGCTTCTTATATTACAATATTGTCTGATAGAAAGATTGTCAAAATACATAGAAAGATTATCAAAATGTAAAGAAAACAATCTACTAATAGAAAGTATATTTTTTGTTTACAACATTAACCCAGTTGGTTTGAATGACATACATATACGCTAGCAAACCATTTAACATTTGTATCTTTGTTTTTGTAGGGAGGAGCTGGCCGCCAGGGTCAGGAAGAACAGGAGGAGAAGGCCAGACAGATGCAGGACATGAAGAACTCTATCCTGAGCCAGGTGTTAGACCAGCAGGCCAGAGCCAGATGTGAGATTAATTATCATATCCATACCTTAATGATCTAATTGATGGAGTTTTTATAAATATAAGAAGCAAGACAATTCGTATAGTTCAATGCATTTTTTATTATCAGTTGCATTGTGTGCATGTAGTGTGTAACTGGGAAATGATAACCTACTGTATTTCCTGTATTTATGGACAGATCCTTTTAATTTTTGTTTCTTTCACAGTAAATACAATAGCAGTAGCTAAGCCAGAAAAAGCTCAAATGGTGGAAAATATGCTTTGTCAAATGGCACAGACAGGACAAATTCAAAATAAGGTAAAAAAAAAATCTACCCCTAAACCTTATTTCTTTTTTAGAGCTCTATTGTAATACGTGGATGTCTTTTTAATAGTAATCTCTTATTTGTTTTCTGTCAAGAGTTGAAAACCTATATGGTTTACTTCCTGACATTTCACTCATTTTTTAGAGCATTAGCTGTTGATGATACTAGAACTACACATCAATTTTTTCTGCTAAAACTATTTCAAAGTCTTCCCATTTGTAACAAAATGTCTAATGTACAACACGTGTAATGTACATTTGATATAAATAAAATAAAATAAAAAATAATTAGAAGACATTAATGTGTTCTTCTTTTGATTTTTCTTCATTTTGTTTTTTGTTTTGACCTCCCTTTCAAAAATATGGAATAACTTCAGGTTTGGTTAGGTTCATATGTTATATTATTATGCTTCCTGTCAGTTTGTCTCTATATAACCCATACCCTACTATTCTCGCATAGTGTTCTAAGGATTTATATAGCGTAAGCATACTATGCCATAATAGTGCACGGCTTACATGTCTGAGGAAAATCGGACAACGCCCATACAGGGGAGCGAACTCACGACCCCGAGATTGTCAGTCCGACGTGCTGCCGATTACGCCATAGACGCCGTTATCTATAGTAAAGTACTATGATATATATAAACTTAGTTTCAAATATTTTACACTTAAGAGTAAAGATAAACAAAATAATTCTTCTAAAATAGTTTCTTGCAATCCCCCTTCCTTCACTCAAATACTATTCTCTAAAACTATCTGTAGATTTCACCTAAAGCATGGAACGTTCAAAATTAAAGAAAAAGATTATGACGTACATGTTGCACAAGGTGACGTCATAATAGAGTAGACGAATGTAACAGGTGATGAAACATTGGGAATGGAGAAAATATTGCCGTTTTTATACAGTAACAACAGTCAGCATAATAATAACAATAGTGTTGTGTTTTGCGTGCACTATGCCTAAATGGTAGTCACGGTTTGACACATAGTGCACTCGCCTCCGGCTCGTGCACCATGTGTCAAACCCTGACTACTATTTAGGCGGGTGTTGCTAAAACGCGGAACGGAAAACGGAACGGAACGGAAAATGGAAAATATTATTTGAGATTAAATCATTTAAAATATATAAATTCCTCAGAAACAATATATTTTTTACATATTTAATTCCTCTTTAATAAATACAAGTTGAATTAGTCATTTTAAGTCTCTTACGAAAACCGCTGATAGAGTAATGACGTAGCTCTAATTTCTTTCAGTACTATTTTCTTACACTCACTAACTACTTTAATTTAACAGACAGAAAGTGTTGGAGGTTTCAGTGATCATTTCTATAGTATAAAGGTTATGTCTGGGAAACATGGGGGGGGATATTTATCTTAATGAATCATGGTAAATGGTAAGAAAAATGAAATGTAAAAAAAAAAATTCTAAGATTACTGTTAGAGCACCCTTTCCGGCAAGCCCGGATAAACATTTCGATTGTAAATTGGTTGTTAAAATTTTATACAAATTAGAGTCGCTTCTAAATCTTATCAATTAAAATCCTGGATAGATGGAGATGTAAAATAGAATCTTAACTGTAGTAAAATTAATACATCGTCCTTACGTTTAATGAAGTTAAAGTGTGATTTCTTTTTTCTTTTTTTTTTGGGGGGGGGGGGGGGGGGGGGAGGGGGTGAATGACTTCGTAAACCATTTTAGAGTTTGTTTTGTTTGTTTTTCCGCTCAGTTCTGAAAAGTTGCAATTCAAGGGAAAAAAAGTTGAACATGCTATTAAATTCCTAAGATGCAAGAAATGTTTTCTTACATTCCAGCTATTCATATCTGAATTTTCCAACGCATAACATATGCCACTGATTAATTTATAGGGGAGCAAACACCCCCCCCCCTTCCCGTCCTTTTTGTGACCAATATATGTGTGTGACTGAGGGAACCTACTCCGACCCCAAACTACCCCCTCCCTTTTCAAGATTCCCGGATTCGCCAATGTATGCATAATCGGTCTTTGTCAAAACTAGTTCTTTTTTGTCTTTACCGATACACGTATGTATACATACTAGTAGTTTTTTTTTCCTTCCGCCTATTTCAATACAAGATTTTTGTTTATAAATGAGCAGTCTTTAAAAAATTGATTTGAACGAAACGTTTGAAAGACGGATACTAGTTAGTACATATATATCACAGTATATATTTATTTGACCATCGCATGCATGTGTTATCAGGGTAGCATAATTCACGAATATATCATATTTTACGTTGATTTTTCATTAAATATGACTTTTACATCATGAATATTGCTCTTTATGTCTGATTCTCTGTTCTTTCCTTGACATTTATTTTCCGTTTTCCGTTTCGTTCCGCTTTCCGTTCCGTTTTCCGTTCTGCGTTTTAGCAACACCCCTATTTAGGCATAGTGCACGCAAAACACAACACTATTATATAAATATTATACTTTCATTTAAATTAGTTGAATGTAATTGGTCAGGAAACATTTGTTAAAAAACACTACTACCCGCTGGATAATGAAGCCATGCTTTCCAGCGTAGCAACAGTCAACATTGCTTGACGATGGGTGATATTTCAAAAAATAGTGACTGTGCAGAATTTATGCGTGCACGGTTCACTGTTATATGTATTTGTATAAAACATTCAGTATAAAGCATTCAGTATAACAATAGATATTGCGTGTAGTTGAGTGTAACATTGAAAATTTTCACCCCTCGAAAACCATTGTCAACCTCGGCTGCGCCTCGGTTGACAATGGTTTTCTTGGGGTGAAAATTTTCAATGTTACACTCAACTACATTCAATATTTAATTATATAATATTACACTTTCATGTAAATTTGTTGAATCTGATTGGTTGAGAAACATTTGTTAAAAAACACTATTACCCACTGAATATTGAAGCCACGCCCTCCACCGTAGCAACAGTCAACACTGCATGACGACGGGTGATATTTCAAAAAATAGCCACTGCGCAGACTTTTTGCGTGCACGGTTCGCTGTTATATGTATTTGTATAAAACATTCAGTATTATATAATCAATATTGCGTGTAGTTGAGTGTTACATTGAAAATTTTCACCCCTCGAAAACCATTGTCAACCTCGGCGTTGACAATGGTTTTCTTAAGGTGAAAATTTTCAATGTTACACTCAACTACATGCAATATTTATATAATGTTAATTCATTGTATTTAGGATGAAAATATAGATGTTTTTTTTGTACCTTTAGATTGGAGAACAACAGCTGAAAAGTTTGTTAGAAAGAGTTTCAGAACAGACAGCCAAGAAAACCACAGTGAAGGTCAGTCTAAATTATCCAAGAATCTAATTTTTTTATGTCTGGTGTTTTATCTTAACTTTAAGGTGAATTTCATAAAGGTACTTTACAATTTTGACAGTATATAATACAAAATTGAATACTATATGGAAATATACTTGTGAAATGAAGAGAAAAAAATTAAGGGGAAAAAAGGAAATAAAATTATTTTTACAGTTTTTTTTGTATAAAAACATGTATTCTAATGTGTAAGAACATTTGAAATAGTTTTTTTTTCAGCCAAATGTTGCATGCACAGTGAATCTTAGAAAAAGAATTAACATTGATATATTTATATTTTGACAGTTTAAACGGAGAGGACTGGATGACTCAGATGAAGACTAGGGTGCAAGATTTGTTACTAGTTCTGAATGACTTCTTGTGACTTGTGTGCTTAGAATGTATATTTTATGCTTATAATTCAGCAGTGTGTAATACTGCACTACATGAAAAACCTGAACTGAGTGTAAGACATCTGAGGAAATGCCCTGCTGGCTTTGAGGTTAAAGAAAATGTCCAACTGACACAGAGGAAGGAAGTGTCTTAGAGTTTTGGTGGTCAGAGAAAATAATCTTGTGACTTAAGTCAGAGAAAATGTCCAGCAGGGTTTAAGGAAGAAGGAAATGTCATCCAGGCTTTATAATGGGAGATGAAATGTCCAACAGGCCTTCAAAGTGGGCAGGATTTCAAGTCTTAGGATTCATCCTATAGGCATTTAATATGTTCTTTAAATGTTTTATAGCTTTTGAGTCTAGGAGAAATATTCCTTTGCTTTTATGATATCTTGACATATCCATATTAAAATATATGAAATTGTGAAACCTCAGTCACCTAACAATCTTATAGTGTCAGTTATTACATGTTGTTAAACCCATTGAATCTGATCCAATTCCATTAAATTATTTATTATCTTTTTTTCTTTTTGTGTTGCTGTCCAGTATTATGAATGAAAGTGATGCAGTTGCACTTTGGTATCAAAATAATATCTTAAATACATTGGATATGTTGGAGTGAATTAGAAGGCCCAACCATTTACCTGGTACTGAGTATTCTTTAAGTATTTATAACCGTTGATATCTTGCCTCTTGAATAAGGCTAGCAATAAGGGCTTTATGTTAAATTTGATTAAGTATCCTACATTTGTGACCAATTTATTATACATTACTTACTGATTTTTATCACTAACTTACGAAATTTTGAATTTTTCTAATCTCAGCAAAACAAGTTTAATCTATTTAAAGCTGGGCGTCGACCCTTTATGACATCTCTGAGAAATTTCGTCAAACAATTATGACTGAAATATTGTCAAAAAAGTTTATCTACGGTGATAGATATGCATTGCTTAAAATGTTATATCGGAGAAAATATTTGCAAATATAACTATTTGGATACATCAAATTTTTTTCTTTCTCCCCACAAGTTGGAGATGGTGAAGTTAGACTGTATTTTACAAGTTTTAACATGTAAACAAAATTTATAAATATCCTTATCTATACAAGCCAATGGTGTTAGGTTTGCGTTGCTCCTTGAGAGTTGAGAGAATAAATAGATCTTACACTTTTGGCTTGCAAAAGGATATATATATATTTACATGGATGCCATACTTGTTTCACTTAGGAAACCCAGGCTAGCTGCTCTGCCATGGAACTGTGTGTGTTAATATTGAAACTGATTAACTTCTTTTTTATTTACTTAGTCATATATATATGATATATAGCAAGTGTGTAATAAACACGTAACTAAGTCTTAGATTCTCTGTGTTTAGTGTAAAAATGTTGGAAAGCCTTTTCCGGATTCCGGGATTTGATAGGCTACAGGGAAGATTTTCAAATTATACATACCGGAAGTTTATTTGTTGCGATGTTGTTCGGAGATGATAAATTTAAAAAAAAATCATAAAATAGATATGTTTCGGAAAACTTATTAGATGTCAAGAAAATGTCTTTTCCAGATATTCACACTTGCATTCAGGTATTGTTCAACCAGAGATAAATATCGTTTTAGGCACTGATGTGAAGAGAATTCAAAATGCATAGGATACATGTAGTTAACCCGAATTTCCTTTGAATATCATTATATTTTTAGGTTTAAATGTTTTTTGTTACAGAATTTTGGCATCTAAAAAAGAGAAAGACATGTATGTTTAACAAGATTTATAAGAAACGACTATATATAGATGTGTATTTTATGTTATAGTTGACAGCAGAAAATGAAAAACTGAAAAAGAAATGTTGGAAACTGAAAATTCAGAGGGACGATATTCAGTCGGAGCTGTCAAATCTAAAGCAGAAGTTGCAGAGGGAAGAACTGTTAAAGAATTACGTCACAACGAGAGAGTAAGATTTTAAAAAATGCAATGAGATTGTGGTTTTATTTAAGTAATGAATGATATGTTTTACAGTGTGACTCTGACTGTAAGGGTGAGTGCCATTTTTACAATCAAAAATCTATACACAGCTTACACTTGTAATTTTGATCTGCCTTTTCAAACTTCAAACTGCACAAGACACAGTCTATATTGTGACATCACATGATGTTGGAATTTACGGAGACAGCTGAGCATCTGGTTGAATACATCTTCACTAGCAAAGATGGGTTGATCGAGACTACACACCTAGTGCATTATTAAATGAAATACATTTATTACATTGTAGAGTAGTTGTAATTATTCTTTTGTTTCTTTTTTGCTCTCTGCAAACTACAGGCCTTTTAAGCCATTATCAAATGTTACCATGACCTCATCTTTTCAAATTCCCGAATAGAATCATTTTTTTCCTGAGAAAATTATTTTTGATTCATTAACATTTATCTTCATGACTATTGATGCCTAAATTTTTTGTAGTTCTTCGACGCAAACAGAAGGAAACAGAGTGTTCCAGCCAGCAGTGGCGGTGAAGAAAAAGGAAGATCCATCATTTAAAGCAGATGTGGAACAGACAAACAAGTATGATTAGATTGTGCAACTTGTCGAGTGAATTTATCTTCGTCTCATACATATTGCATGTATATGTATATATCATACATAATGTTAGAAAAATTTCATCAAGCAGGACTAAAAACATTGCATGTCACAGGCTTTTTATCTTCCATTTCCACAAACGGTCACAAACCACTAGATGTCTATATACTACTAAATTCAATGATTCTCAAAAATTTTAATGACACACATGCAATTAACAGAAAAATGTACTGACACTTTACGTCAGAAACCTTTGTCCAATGAAAATGATTGGTCTATCCTACATTTTAATCACAAGTATTGTCTTCAGAATTTAATACAAAATTGACAATACACTATTTGACACAATCTTGGATTCAATTATTGTTGCATACAATAATACAGAGTTGTGGAAAACTTTTTCAGATAGCCGGTCATTCGGACCGACAAGAAAACAAAATAAGCCGGTCCGAAGTGATTTTTGTCGGTCCGAAATAGTACGTCGCAAAATGGAAAAAAAAAACTTAATACATATTCACTTTATAACACAATCTTTTTAATAAATCATGATAATAATGATACAAAATTCAAATCTCCATTTCCAAGTCCTCTTCCGTTTTCTTTTAATTTTGCATTTATAACAATACTAGATACCATCGCTTTTTGGAAGGTCACATTGTTAATTAAGCATAGTGATTGTAATTTTTTTTAAACATTTATGCATTTTGGAATTATAATATTAACCTAGAAAATGGGTCTAGAAATTGCAAAAATTCTTTGCATCGATACAAGCAATAAACGATCAGTAAAAAAACACACAGTGCAAGTACTAGATTTACTGCTTTCCCCACCTGTGCTTGCATTCTTTCTGTTGAAATTTTTCATATTTAGCTCCTCTAAACTTTATTTTTTTCTTTGATACGTTTTCTACCTAATTCTGCCCCAGTTGCATTTAAATTTAATAGGTCACGAGAACCATGCCAGTTTCGCTTTCATTTACAGCCTGGATCTCGTTAAAAGAAAAGGTATTACTTAATCGCATATAAGGTACGACAATATTAAGAAGGGAAATGCACATGAGAAATAGAAAAACAAAAAGCTTTAACAGAAAGAGGGGGCCGGTCATGTGGACCGACACTGATAGCATTTTTACCGGTCATGCGAATTTTTTGTCGGTTTTGCCGGCATGACCGGCACTTTTCCACAACTCTGTAATATCGTATAAATTTATTTTTATTTTTGCATTTCTTTGTAATTTTAAGGCTCCTATCACTACATAATCAAATGATGAGAAGATATGAAAAAGAGGTGAAGATGAATATGCTACATGTAGAAACCATCACAGATTTAAATGTAAGATCGGGGTTAAGAAACCATCACAGATGTGATTGTATGATCGGTTTAAATTTGGAAAGCCATTCCTTAACTATTTAGAAAATGAATGATTAATAATGGAGAGTAATTATGTCATTCTGCTGATGTGAAACATAACTTCTCAAATGTGAACACCACAGGCACTTAACATTACTTATTTTTCTTAGATAAAAATAATAACCCATACCTATTTGGGTCAATTTTTTATGAAATAAGTAATATCAAGTGTCTAGGATGAATACAGGCATCTTGTTGATTTTTTGTGCTGATTTTAAAGAGTGAGGGTTGCTTCCTGCATGTGACTTTCATTTGAATGTCATTTTAGATTGCTTTGTGATTTTTTTTTTTAATAAAAATGTTTAGAACACATTTTACAACAAGGTCTGAAGTGGAATTTCATCTGAGTAGTTCATTTTAAATGAGTAATGTGCAGTTTAACTTTGATATTTTATTTTTAAAATGTAAACAAAATTATAAATTTTGGCCTACAAATTTTTCTCTCAATGGTATATGAAGTAAAATGTCCCTATTTGGTACATAAATTGTGGATGTTTATATAAAACATGGTCATAATCTATACTATATTTCATACTTCACATCAGCTTTCAATATAAGAGGAGAGTATAGTACATTATTTCTTGTTTTGTTGTGAAGTTGCTGTATGATTAAACATTTTAATTTACGGCTCAGATCATAAGCTATCTCCTCAAAAGTCTCAGTATTTTGTTTACGACTCAGATCATCAGCTATCTCCTCAAAAGTCTCAGTATTTAGGACTCAGATCATCAGCTATCTCCTCAAAAGTCTCAGTATTTAGGACTCAGATCATCAGCTATCTCCTCAAAAGTCTCAGTATTTACGACTCAGATCGTCAGCTATCTCCTCAAAAGTCTCAGTATTTAGGACTCAGATCATCAGCTATCTCCTCAAAAGTCTCAGTATTTAGGACTCAGATCATCAGCTATCTCCTCAAAAGTCTCAGTATTTAAGACTCAGATCATCAGCTATCTCCTCAAAAGTCTCAGTATTTAAGACTCAGATCATCAGCTATCTCCTCAAAAGTCTCAGTATTTAAGACTCAGATCATCAGCTATCTCCTCAGAAGTCTCAGTATTTTGTTCACGACTCAGATCATCAGCTATCTCCTCAAAAGTCTCAGTATTTTGTTTACGACTCAGATCATCAGCTATCTCCTCAAAAGTCTCAGTATTTACGACTCAGATCATCAGCTATATCCTCAAAAGTCTCAGTATTTACGACTCAGATCATCAGCTATCTCCTCAAAAGTCTCAGTATTTACGACTCAGATCATCAGCTATCTCCTCAAAAGTCTCAGTATTTTGTTTTAGATTAGAATATCAGAACTGGAGCGACTGTTAAAAGAAGAGAAAAACACAAGAATGTCCTTAGAACGACAGTTAATGAATCAACACCCAAAGAAAAAGTCTACAGAACTGCCAGCACCAATGGAAGAGTTGAAATCAGGTAAGGCATTCGTAATTTCTTTGTTTTTAGCAGATTTTTACCAGACAGTGACAACTGTCTAATATAACACCTGTGTAATCCATTACACTGTGAATAATGACCTTCATTTTCTTTCTTATTTCACCATTTTCCGTGTTTTTTACATTGTGTGATCTACTAACCTGTCTATTCCAATGCATACTCTCTTGGTGATTATTGAACTAGCATGCCATAACTTTAATTTGTGTTCGTTTTGGAGTAAAAGTTCCCTTTTAAGAATACATGAAGCCTACCAGTACTGGTTTGAAAGGTCAAATCCACACTAAGTTAAAGTTTACTATCCTTGGACAATACATGTATTCTGTAAATGATGATACAGGTACATACCTGTACATGAAAACATTGCATTTACCAAACTTAGTCTCAGTTCACTTTGTGAATTGATTAACCATTCTCTATTTAGGATCTTGTTAGCCTTCATTTTAATTTTTAAAACATAAACTGATAAATAATGATCTTTATTGTTAGGAATAAAAACAAAATATGAAAAAGTAGCCAAGGAATGTGAAAGAATGAAAAAAGAAAATGAGAAACTCAGGACGGAATTGAAGGGATTAGATTTTGTAAGTATTTGTAAGCTTGTAAATCTTTATCCTAATGTATACTTGATTGATACTGAAATAAGGTTTGGTGCTTTTCATTTATTCAGGGATTCTTTGAAGAAATAGAGGACCTTAAGTTTGGCCTGAAGCAGGCAACAAAACTTAACAAGGAGTACGAAAGGACACTCAGAAAAGTGTGCATTCAGTTCGGTGTACCATATCCTCATCCTGAGAAATGTTTAAAGGAAACTTCATAGCAGTGGAGGTAGAATTTGTGACAAAAACATGGCAGGTGTAAAAACAGGATTGTCCCTTCTTTATTGTGATAGATGCTACATAGTCTTTCAGTGTATACAATGTTCATTCATAATGTAGATATTTACTAGATAAGAATGTGACGTTTTCATTATTTTCAAGAATATATTTATTTTATAGAGTGAATGACAGTGTTTTAATTGCATGTCTTAATGTAGGTAGTACATGAAATTAAAAACATTAAAATAACATTTTACTTAATTCTCTTATTTCCATATCTTAAACTTGGTAGCATGTAAATATTGCCCATGATAAAGTTGAAATTGGTTATCCAATACGTGTATATACTTGTTCATGTAGATGCCAGCATAATAATGTTCATTAACATGCTGGAGAACCTTGAAAGACCACTATCACATTGACTAGAATGTAGGCTAACACAGAGCCTAGACACGCCCCCAGCTGTGTGACGCCTCCCAATAAAAACAACGATTGTTTTCCATCCATTCGGAACAGAACGGCAACACACACCTTGGTATAAATAAACAGGCAAGTCTTCCCTATATAAATCACCACCTGTAAAACAGTTGAACGAATGTCATACATTTACCTGTTAGTACCACATGTTGGCAAGAAAATTTTATGAATTTAGTAGCATTTACATATTGCATAAATTGTTAGGATTGGTGTTTATATATCACCATTACACAACTGCACACTATATATAAATATGTTGCTACTTACCATAATGAATGACCCAGCAAGTGAACCCACAAGTGGTGGACTGGGACTCGTTCCCGCCAAAACTAAGAGATAGACAGAGAAACCTGTACCAGCTAAAACAGTAGGAAAAAGTACGCGAAAGGATTTGGCGGGAAAAAAGAAAGCCAAAGCAGACGCCAAAGGATTAGCAATATTTTCTAGTATGGCTGCCAGATGGTAAGCGTCGGTCCCGTAAGGTAGAGAGGAGTACGTACTTATGGAAGGTAGAAATCCGTTTGCTAGGAAACTGACCCAGGCTATAATGGTCAACCATACAGCCTTGGTTGTCTTCGACATTCTTTTATCATGTGTCTGAATAAGCACGGTAGTGTCTGCATGACCGTTTGCCGTATCTTTCTTTTCCTGCAGTTGGCAAGACGTCGAGATTGATTTTGCCGAATTGTCTGTAACACTTATTCGCTCGCTCTTGCAGAAAGGGGCATATCGGAGTAAAGAAAATGATATGCCACTGATTGCCATCATGGTTGCTAACGCCCAAAAAAAATCTCGTACCGGAAAATTGGGAGAAGAGGATACTTGTTCTGTATGAAAAATTGTGATATTTGTAGTCATATTGACAGCTGATACATTCCTACACTCGGTCTTTCCAACGCCCTGACCGAGTGCTATCATTGCTGGAACGAGCGCACTCAAACCTTCCCCAATGTATAACCCGGTCATGTAGTCTGGCTTCAACAAGGCCATGAATGGTAGAAATATAACTGTCGATGTGCAGTCACACAGACCAAGAAGAAAAACGAAGACAAACAAAGCTACACTGTGTTCCTGTCCTCCGACTGTTGATGTTTTCTGCCACAGAAAAGCCGCCAAGATACATGACGCAGTTCCCACAATGATGATGACGTAGGTGACAAAGGTCTCGTTTAGCCATTTGGGTCTTGCTTTGTTAAGGATGAGGACTGCTATAGGACCGATGTTGGCTATCTGACCTATAATTGACAGGTATGATGACAGTTTCCATTGCTCGGGGACGAAGTTCACAATGGTCGGCAGCTCTACCCAGACTCCATTTATGGTGAGCCACGACCCTAGTCCAAACAGAATTGTCAAACAAAATACAGGAAAGTTCACGTCAAATGATTTAAAATACGATGTCACTTTGTCAATGGCCATTCTTCATTTTGTAACAATTTATCTACGGAGCGCCAAATGTTATCAACATCAATTGTTAACACTTACAGTTAGCCTGTTCCAGTTACTCCAGTATTTTTTTCTATATCATTTAACCATTTTCTTAATTAACTGCACACATCTTTTTAACATTAAGTTAATCTAGGTTCATTGATATCATGTTATACAGTAATTATTTCCTTAGAACTAATCGGTTCTTTTTATAAAATCATTAATATATTGGTATTTTCCTTGTTTCGTTGCAACAGGTGTCAATACGGCGATCCATACAAAGTACACCTGTACTGGTACATAGAGCGATGAAGCAACTGTTGATTTTAGATAAAAGTCATATAATGATACCGATAACAAATTGTCAGCCAGTACTTGTATACTAGTAATTTCTTTCACGGTAAAAATATTTATTCATTTATTCGTAAGTTACTCGCTGAAAGTGAAAATTTTAATTCTGGCGAACTTATTGTTAACATTAAAAATTATTGAAGATATTCATGTGCGTGTGAAAAGTTCTTAAATCATTCTGCGTATTTTTCCTAAGCCATGATGACCTGTAAAACTGCAGTCGCCATGTAATTTTTTTTTTTGAATCGTGTATAGTACACTGTATATCATTGCTATATAGCCTATATCTAAGCATGTTAATATGTTTAGTTAAATTAAAAAGGAGGATGGGGAGGCAGGTGATCAAACTCCTCTGTTTTGAGGGAAATTCTTTTTACAGAAAAATTTTTATAATTAAACGGAAGAGTCCTTCTCCCCCTCTTATTTACTCATTCATTATTGGTTATCATTTTCAAAATTGGTGCTATGTGCTTGAAAAAAAGCGTTATGTTTACTATAAACATATAAACAGTCCTTGATATAGGTAAAGGGCTTTTATTGTCAATCCTCTGTCGCCCAATGTGTAAAATATAAAAATTATTAGTAATAAATTATCAGAATGTTACTTTTTTAAATAGAACTGCATCAAATGAGATTCCGTTAATTCTGCAGAACGTCTTATCTGTTTGGTGTGTCGCCGAGCCTTGACTTCTGACAGATATGATATAATCTGTGTTCATCATCGTCAATGGATTTCATTCCTGGAGTTTTTCTTCTAATTGTTTTAACTCAATATGGAGTTATTTGCAGTCAACACAATATCAAGAGGTTCCTCTTTGATCCGACAACAGTGCCGACCACGCCCGACCCCGTGTTCCTGATGACCGAGGTGAAGTACCTACACGAACAGCTCCACGAACTCAGCGACAAGAACATAGAACTCTCGGTACACAACTCGCTGCTCTCCTCGGAGCTGCGGCACCAAAAAGACCTGGTACAGGCCTTGAAGACTAATATAACAACGCTAGAAACCACGAACAGTAAAGAGAAAGGTGTCTTGAATGATAAGATTCATGAATTGCAAACTAAGGTGAACGAGTCGAGTTCTCTTGTGATACAACTGACAAACAATTTAACCAGTTGTGCCCTACAAAGAAATCAACTTGAAGAAACTCTAAATACATCCAATGCTGAAATAGACTTATTAAAGAAACAACTGAACGACTCAGTTGCAAACCAAACCCACGCGGCACTAATGGCAGGACTACAAGCTAATATTTCACGCATCCAGAAGGATTGTGATCACCAAAACATTACCTCTATTGACAAAATAAATCTTCTACAAGATCAGCTGAACAGATCGACTTCGCTGATTGGAAATCTTGAGGCCAATTTGACCACGTGCACCAAAAGCAATGAGCAGAGAGAAGCAGCACTCCACGTCTCTCGCCAGAGAAATAAGCTTCTAGAGACACAGTTGAATAACACAAGAAAGGAGCTAAACATTCGGAACAGTGATTTAGACCAGTGTCAACAAATGGCCTTGGGTAAAAAATAACCTTTACAAGAATTTTTCACATTCATATACACTGTAGATACTGAATAATGCTTTTGTTTAATGTCGTATACATGTATAATTATTGCCGCATATTTTGTTTTAAAGCAATGTCTACAAATATTGCCAATTTGCAGACGTTTTCAAATGGTTCCACACCTTGTCTTAATACTGCAGGTATGTCTGCACTTTTCTTGCGGAAATGCTAAAGTTTAAACTTATCTGAAAAATTGTCAGTTCAACATTATTGATCAAAGATTGACTGTCGAAAATATGCATACAAGTTTTTTCTTGATCTTATGCTTCAGTTTTAAAGAATCTTTCTGGTAAATCTCCTGCGTGGACAGTTCTATGTTGCCTTAGAAATGTCATGTTTACCGGGGTGCAGTAAATACAAAAATCAGTGATGTTGTAAAAGTTAAATTAATTTACTGCTACCCAGTAAATTCAAAATTTACAAACTATCTATTTTATTCCGTTTTTGTTTTCCTTCCTTTTCTAATGACAGATTGTGGTTTGGACTTGGTGTTTCTTGTGGACCAGTCCGGAAGTGTTGGGAGTGACAATTTTGAAATGTTGAAGGACTACATCTTTAAGACCATTCAATTCCTGAACATCGGTCCACACTCCGATCAGGTCGGCGTGGTGACATACGCGACCTTACCGCAGTTGGAGTTCACTCTCAATACCTACCCTCATCAACTCTCCTTGTTAAAAGCTGTTCAGAATATATCGTATAACCATCCAGGCCTTACCATGACAGCAAGCGGCCTTCAATTCGTAAGGGAAAATCTGTTTAACGTCACTAATGGTGATCGACCCGGGCATCCGAACGTGCTAGTCCTCTTAACCGATGGGCGTCCTATGAATTCTATTCACGCCACTCTGGAGGCTGAAAAACTTAAAAATCAGAGTGTTGAAATTTTTGTTATAGGTATTTCGAAAAATTTCAACAGACAGGATTCGCTTGATATTGCGACAGATTCTAACCATGTTCTAAGTTTGGCTGATTTCGGAACTCTTCATAATCCAACATTTGTCTTGGATTTCTTAAGAAAGCTTATGAATGTTTGCAAAAATTAAAGAGCTGATCAATGAGAATTAAAATACAGATAAATAAGATGTGTTTGTGAAACACTAATGCCCCCGTATGACATTACACAGTGAAGATTAAACTTTTCTTAAATGCAAATTGAATATATTGGTACCCAAAGTAGGGTATTCTCACTGGAAATACAGTTGTGAAATATGAAAGATCTTGCCACAAAGAATATATGTGTGAAGTATGGAAGCCTAAACCCTTCAAAAGTTATGTCAAAGTCAAAGGGTCAAGTGAAAGATCTTGTCACAAGGATTGAATACAAAAAGTATGAGTCAAAGTCCAAGAGTCAAAGTTCTTGGTATCCAGTAAAGGGTCTTCTCACAAGGATTACATATTTGAAGTATGAGAACACTCTTCCTTATTGTTTAAAAGTTATGGCCAAGGTTAGAGTTTTTTCATAAGTACAGAATTCTCCAAGGTAAAATTTTTTCATAAGTACGGAAATCTCCAAGGTCAAGGACAAAAGGTCAAAGTTCTTGATACCAAATGAAAAGTCTTGTCACGAGAATTAAATTTGTAAATTATGAAAGCACTAGCCCTAACCCTTTAAAAGTTATAGTCAAGTTTTGCTTTTTAAAAGTACGTCAAACGTCAAAGTCAAAGGGTCAAAGTTTTTGGTATCCAATGAAGGGTCTTTTCACAAAGATTACATATGTGAAGTATGAAAGCAGTAGCCCTTACTGTTCAAAAGTTATGGCTAAGGTTAAAGTTTTTTAATTAGTATGGAAATCTCCCAGGTCAAATTCAAAAGATCGTTGGCGTCCAATGAAAGGTCTTTCCACAAAGAATACTTATGTAAAGTATAAAAGTCCTGGTAACCAATGTTCAAAAGATATGGATAAAGTAAAAGTTTGGAATTTTTGTGTAAATGTGGGTCAAAGGTCAAGGTCAAATTTGGTGGTACCCAAAGAAAGGTCTTGTCACAAGGAATACATGTGAAAAATAGGAAAGTCATAGCTCCACTAAATCAAAAATTATGGGCAAGGTTAAAGTTTTTTGCGGACATACAGACGGACGGACAGACAGATGGACGGACACGATAAAAACTATATACCCCAAAACTTCGTTTACGGGGGCACAAAAATGATTGCAGATTTATCAGCGAAAATAAGTATTTGAAATTCCAGTTTGTCATCATGGTCATGCAGTTACTTTAATTTTTATCCTTTGATGCATGGCCATTACACATGCATCGCCTGTTAAAATCACATATATATACAGCTACCTTTGTACAAATTCTAGTTTCTGACCAATACATCAACATGCATGATCAAGGTAATGGTAATTGTGCTAAATATTATATTCTTTAATTGTTATAGGAGCTAGTGTTGTCAGAAAAGTCGTAGACAGTGTTGATAACTTTGTAAATACTCTAAATAAATACTAAAGAAAATATCAAACGAGAAACCAAATTTTGCCTGTCTAGCTATCACTTATTACACGTTTCTTAAAATATTGAACTCTGAAACAAAAAAAATATTAGTAATAAAAACATGATAATTCATAAAAATTCTGATGTAGACTGTCACTTCGAGCTTCAATCAAGAATAAATTACTAGGTTTCTTTCTATATCAGTTTTGGCGAAGGATGTTTCTCGAATGCAAGTCAAAAATGAAGGGTCAAAAGATGAAAAAGACTGTAACCCCAAGTAAGGAATTGTACGTCTCAATGAATATACCTGTTAAAAATATGAATTTTAAAACCCAAGCTTTAAGGGATCAAAACTTGTGACCAAAAAATACTCCTATGAAATATTAAGACACCAGTACTAACTATTTGAAAGTTATGTCTAAGGTAAGCTTTACAAATGTAGGTCAAACTCAAAGGTTCGAGCCAAAGTCAAAATATTTTATTCATTGAATACTAGTAGTCATTGCCACAATGAATATACACATGTGAAGTATGAAAGCTCTACATTTTCAATTTTTGTAGTACCAACTGTTTAAATTACAAGGCTAAGGTTAAAGTTGGGTAATTTCATTCAAAAGATGGTCAAACGATAAGGTCAAGTTTAAAAAGTCATGTTGGTACCAAAAGAAATACTCGCCTTGTCCATAATCATGCAATAAAACAAGCAAATTCAAAGAATTGTGGTCCCCCGCTTTGGTGTCTTTAAATTGTGGATGAGATGTCATTTTCTATGACATATTAATTTTGTGTCAAATATGAACGCCCTATCAAATGTCATTTAAAAATTATCACTGAAGTTGATTTTTTTTAAAAATAAGGTCAATCGTGAAGGTCAAGGGGTCAGAAATCATAGCACCCTCGGAAATCTTGTCACAAGCAATGCACATGTCAAATATGAAAGCCCTATCTCTTCTCAATATAAGGAAGAAGACGTGTTTGTGAAAAACTGATGACCCTTAAGGCAAGAAAGCGAAGATTAAAACTTTTCTTAAATGCAAATTAAATATATTATAACCCAAAGTAGGGGCTTCTCATAAACCACCTGTTCAAAAGTTATTGCAAGGGATGAGTTCTTGTAATGTACGTCAAACTCCAAGGTCAAAGGTTCAAAGGGTCAAAGGTGTTGGTTAATGAAGAAAGGTCTTCTCACAAGTATTACAAATGTGAAGTATGAAAGCCCTAGCCCTAACCGTTCAGAAGTTATGACCAAGGTTAAAGTTTTTAAAGAGTAGGTCAAACTCCAAGGTCAAAGTCAAGGTTCTTGATATCCAATGAAAGGTCCTGTCACAAGGATTTAATATGTCAAGTATGAAAGCCCTAGTCCTTACCGTTCAAAAGTTATGGCCAAGGTTAAAGTTTTTTCATAAGTACGGAAATCTCCATGGTCAAGGTCAAAACTTGCTGGTATCCAATGAAAGACCTTGCCACAAAGAATACATATGTGAAATATGAAAGCCCTAGTCCTTACCGTTCAAAAGTTATGGCTAAAGTAAAAGTTAAGAATTTTAGAGTAAAAGTGGATCAAACTCCAAGATCAAGGTCAAAAGGTCAAATTTGGTGGTACCCAAAGAAAGGTCTTGTCACAAGAAATACACATGTGAAATACGAAAGTCATGGCTCCTCTCAATCAAGAGATATGGGCAAGGTTAAAGTTTTGTGACGGACGGATAGCTAGACAGACTGACGGTCGGACAGACGAATGAGATTTAATGTCCCCTCGCTTTCGCGAAAGCGGGGGACAAAAAATATGGGCAAGGTAAGGTTAAAGTTTTTGCGGAAAGCAGACAACTTAGCCAAACAAACAGACATAGTATAAAAAAAACTACTTGCCCCCGAATCTTTGAATACAGGGGTCAAAAAAAATAGAGAAAGTTCCGACGCAAGGATTACCTCCTTACTCTCTGTATCTCCTACTGATAGCAGATGACCGTGTACGTCTACGTGTACGTGTAGCTAGGGAAATCCCCTAATTCAATGCGATTTACGTAATCAGTTTTGCATACCGCGTAATATTCTACAACTAAGTTGTACACAACGTATTCGCAAGTACACGTAGGTGAGAACTTGTATAGCTTCTTAAACTCAAACTACAGAATATTTATATTTCAGCCTGTGTTTGATATGAAGTTGAGAATTATTACGTACATCCAATGTATCTTTTTTATTTCAAGTCATAGCTTTATTTGATACAAAATTACAAATGGATTGAAAAGTGTCTTGCTGAAATGACGTTTTACACGTACCGTACTCGTGCAGATTGTTAAACAAAACACGATGATAGTTACGCGTACGTGTAAAATCACTTTTAGGTTTACATGTACAAGTAGACGTACACGGTAAAATGCTTAACCTCTCTAATAATTTCATTTTCACATATTTCATAAGGCCACACCGTTTCAATTCCTTAATTGTTCGTCGGACATTTGAAAAGAAAAAGTATGAGCGGGCAAGCGGTTAATTGATACTTTTTAAGGCAAATTTTAGGCGGAGCGCATTAAAAAAAAGCGGACAATTATATTTTTTCTGATTTGCAGAGTATACAGATATAAAATACGAAAATATAGAGCGGAAATGGAACAGAAAATAGCACAAAATTTCCATGGTGCGGAAAACTGAAATTAATATTATTTATGTAGTTTTGTCGAAATACGAGCGCGCGGGTCGGACGAACAAAATTTTTATTGGTGCGGCCTAAGATTAAAATATATATTATAAGTCCCGAACTAATATTTTAAATTAAATATGTCCCTTTAAGAATTTACGGACCGTGTTATTATTACTGTGGTTTTTTAAATTGTATTATTATAATCATGTAATACATGTAGATCGTTTTCGTATGACGTATTTTCTCTACGAGCTACTGGTATTTCCCTTGGCCGCCATCTTGGTGGTCAATCACGTATCTTTTTCTTACCAAATTTAAGAAGTTGTAGCAGAAATATTTGGAGAAACATCTTTATTGAATATAAATTATGAATTAAAGGAGCCTCTATATAACTAATGTATATTTTTTAGAAAAACAATGCGTCCTACCACACAATTGCCAGTGCGTATTAAAAAAAAAAGTTTGGTCAAATATTAAATAATGAAGGAATATGAGCATACTATCCTCCAATATGTCGACCAACGGGAAATCAATCTGCTTAATTTGGGCCTACTGAAAACTGCCATAAACCTAAATCACTTTAGGTCTATGAAACTATCTATGCAATCGGAACGGCTTGACGGTGAAACTATACATTCGGATCGAACGGCTTGACGGTGTTCCGACTGTCTTATTTATTTTGATGACGTCACAATTAACTTGCTCAATTACAGCCCATTGTCACGTCACAATTTTTCCTCGTTAACGTCACAATGATACATCATGATTAAGAACCATAGGCTTTGTTAGTTTTGCGTTATAATGTAACTACTCCAAAATAATGGTAAATGAAGACGATAAAGAAAACAATGAATCCGTAGGAGTCGATGGAAATGAGGATGCGGCCTCCACAACTACAACCAAAAGCAAGGCTACAAAAAGATTTCAGGTGAAAATTATATATAATATTTACAAACATTTACATCTATATACAATGACGGGTTGGAGGAAAGGAATGTAATTCACAGATTTAATGATTGAAAAACATGCAATTCTTGCTATTTATATGTGTCCTTTCCTTTCATTAACCTTTGAAAAAGGTTGTAGTTATGTCACAGTGTTTGCCTTAGTGAAAGGGATAAGCACTGTTTCTGCCCAAACCCGAATTTAAATTTTTCCAAAAAAATGTAACTCCCGCATGGTTTAGAATATAAGTTTTATGTGAAATCTGTTTAAATTGCACAAACATGTCAGATCATGCAAAAATGTTCTCATTCGGTAGAATGTGTCTTTAATCACGTTAATATACTGTAAATTTATTGGAAATTAAGCATTGCGTATAAGTTATATCTATTTTTTTATATACCTATATTACAGGTTTTAGAAAGCCAAGGTTTTATAGTGGGGAAGACTCTCGGTCAGGGATCTTATGCTTGTGTTAGGTCTGCATACGATGTCAACAGAAAACACAAAGTTGCTATCAAAATAATTTCTAAAAGAAAGGCTCCGAACGACTTCCTTCTAAAATTTTTACCACGGGAAATTGAAGTGATCAAAATTCTAAAACACCCTTGTCTCATTTCATTCTACCAAGTCATTGAAACAACCACTCGCTTTTTTCTAATTATGGAGATGGGTCACATTGATCTCTTAGATTATATCAGAAGCAAGAAAACGATTCCCGAATCTCAGTGTGGAATTTGGTTCCAGCAGTTTCACGATGGGATGTCTTACATGCACTCAAAAGGTGTAGTCCATCGCGATCTCAAATGCGAGAATGTTTTATTGGATAAGCATTTTCATCTTAAAGTCACAGACTTTGGATTTGCCAAAAAAATACAGAAATCTAAAAATGGCGATTTCAAACCAAGTGAAACATACTGCGGAAGCTATGCATATGCACCACCAGAGATTTTGAAGGGAACGCCATACGACCCCTTTTTCGCTGATGTGTGGAGTATGGGGGTTGTTTTATTTACAATGTTGTACGGGAGACTCCCATTTGATGATTCCAACCATAAGAAACTTCTGAAACAGGTCCTACAGAAAGTTGTTTTTCCCGCCAAACCGGAAGTTTCCGAAGACTGCCGAATTCTTATCGTTAAAATGCTCTCAAAAATGCCTGAGCGTGTGCCTTTATCCAACATTCCGTTCGACACTTGGTTTAAGAAGTTTTCTCCTGTGGATGAAGGGAAATCGAAAGAGGCAGAGGACACCACAGAACAAACATCAACAGCCGAGGAAAACCAAACATCATAAACCTCTCAAACGTCCATATAATTTTTTGCCAACTTTCATTAAACGATTAGATTAAGAATAAAATTTCCTGTTTTTTTTGACAATGTTTGAATGTTATTCTTAGTATCTGTATCACATAGCTTCACTTAATAACCTGAAATTTATTTTTTTTTAAAGAAAAATGAAGTAAACCATAATTAATACTTATTTAAATGAAAATCATTGATTTCATTAACTTGTTAAAATTCAGAAATTTATTTCAATATAAAATACTACATAACCAGAATTGATTCATGATATTTTATTTTCACCAAGCAAGCAAAGTGCTCCCAGGTTATTATACCATCTTAACAAGTAAAATAGTCAACAATGATTGTTGATAGTGATTGCAAGACAAAGGATTTCACAAATCATCACACAGTAAGACATGACGAGTCTCCTAAAGCTTGGAGTACAGAAACACACATTCATATTATGTCAAAATGGAGACTAAGTTTTTCTGTGACAAGGAATTTTCTAAAATTAGGAATCTGATTTTTCTTTTTTTCATAAATGTGTTGAACACTACAAGAAATTACCTAAAGTTCCAAGAATAATATAAATTTTGGTCTCTATTCTTAAAGTTAAAGCAAATATAAATATCAAAACTCCATATACACTCCTTCTAGAATTCATTCTCTCTGACATCCCCCTTCTCTCAACTCACTCACATACACATATACCCTATCTCTCTCTATGAGAAAAATGATGAGGAAATAGCACCTGTCTATTTACACAGCTATATGAACATGTTTGTGTCTGTACAATTATGACTTGATGAATTAACAATTAGATTACATGATACATACAGATGTCAATATAACTATATACTCTGTAATCCCAAGTAAAGCATGAATGGCATATTTACAGGTTAATATAATTACTTTCCTACGACCTATGTACAATGTTATCAACAAATGATAATGTTACATATTTATATGCAGCCTTTATATAATAATAACAGGATACTTTTCAGTTTTTGCACTTATGGCACAGAAGCCACCACCCATCTACAACTGAATAAGTTGTTCATCTGATTAAACAAGTATACATGTACTTCACATAATTTCTCTGTTTTGTAACATGAAACATAAAAAGTAACAAACAAAATAAAAACAATTGCAGTTTTGAACAAAATCAATACAAAATTTGGCAGTCACAACAAAACAAACATATATTTTAAATGTAAAAGTGATTTCTTCTTGAAATAATATGCATGTATATATACTGGATTTCAGGTAATCACATCTGATACAGGCTTCAGCTGACTTTTCACATCAAATATTGAGAAAATGAAAGAAAGCAAATTACCAGTACCACAATGAGCATGTCCATAAAAGATTCAGAAAGTAAATGGGAATACTTATGCCCAAATATAAAAACGATCACAGACCACAAATGAATGACACAGTGTAATTGGATTTCTGATATTGTTTGGCATTGAGACATTAATTAGCATTAACTGGAGCAGGAGGTTCTGGTATTAATGAGCTGAAAAAGGTTGACACAAAACTCCAAGCAACTGTCAGAGCCCCGGGGGGAGGGGGTTCAGGGGTATCTGTGGGAGTACTTTCTGTTTGTGGTGTATTACTCTCCTAAAAATAAAAGATCCACATTTCATAATCATAACAAAGGACAACATATCTGAATAGTCTCTCTTGAATCATTAATATTTAAAGTTTTTATATAAATAATGCCTACCTCCTCAGCAGGAGTTTCCTCGGCCCCTGGATCCCTGGGAACATTTTCAGGTTGTTGTGGTGGTTCCACTACAATTTCAATCTCTTGTTCCCGATTTCTACGACGTACACCAAACCATCCTGTCTGATATCTGAAGAAGATAACAAATAGAAAATCAACAACAAAAAATCAAACCCTCCCTCATAAATGTTAAAAAATATTCCATTATATACCATAATACAGTTAAATTTGATATCTAGAACACTGATATCTTGAATACCATCGATATGTCACAGTAATTAATAGTCCTAAGAATTTCTTCTTTAAGCAGTTAACCCTCAACCTCTGGAATGATTGGATTTAAGAAAAAAAAATTTCTGGTCCCCTTGAGTTCAAAATAACAAGGTTTGATTGTACTTGAATAAGAAAACAAACTTACAAATAAACCAAAAAGAAAAAAGCAGCAACAGCCAGAAATCTGGTGAAGTTTGAGTAGAAATAAACAATGCTGATCAGGACGAGGAATCGACTGAAGGTGTAAACGTAATCTAGCCAGTCTCTGGGACCGAAAAACTCCTCATCGTCATCCTCTTCCAGGCCTCCTTGTGCGTTCATCACTTGATTAGCGTTGTCTGGTCTGGGAGCGGGGCCCTCCTGATTGTTTTGTCTGGGGGCCTCATTCTCCTGATCCGTAACAACTTGGGGGGTTACAGGTTGAAACGTTCCTGTCTGATAGCTGCAAGTAATTTGTTTAATGTTAGGAATTTGCAGAAGCTGAGTTTGGAAAAAAAAACTTGAAAAAATTTAGCAATCATCTTGCTCTATTTTGGTAATAATTTTAAAAAGAAATATCTTTAAAAGAGTTGTAAGAAATTAATTTGTAATATAATGCTGTCAATCTTCTCCCAATACCCCATAACATGTTTTTGCTGTTATTTTTACTTTTAATTTTTAGCCAGATTTTAAGAGAAATGGACAACTTCTGCTTTGCCACCATATTCCATAGGGTAAAATACAAGTTATAAAATTTGGATGAAGAAGAACATTCTTTAAGATCACAGATGATAGTCTAAATAGATTATTACTATCACATTCTCATAATGTTAACTGGTTGTGCAAATATATACAGTGGACCCTCAGATATCCAGACGCCAGATATCCGGATGCTTCAGTATCTGGACGACTTTTCTTCTAAACAGAATTTTTTTTTTGTTATTTATTCCTTTTTAACTGGTAATTCAGATATCTGGACACTTCATATATATCCAGACAAATTGACTAGGACCAAAGCATCCGGATAAATGAGGCTCCACTGTACTGGTAATATGGTATGTTTATTCAGTCTCTGCATATTTATTTTTATGCTGGATGCAAAAAATATCTGTTAGCAAACTTCAAACAGATAGTCTCAAATTTTCTTGGTTGAGTTAAATATATGATGATATTCACTAAATCTGTTAAGATACTCTTTTTACAGTTATATGTTATACTTTATGTGCACAAGTCAATAATGAGACAATTACCTCCCTTTTAAATTAATAATATGAAATGATTGTGTCATGTTTTCGGTTTTAAACTTAGTAATGTACAATTTACTTACTATTGCATGTACTGTGTAGTCATTTGGTAGTAGTAATTGTGCATCATCATCATGTACTGTTCTTGGGTGACAGCCATACCAGGGGCATTAGGCATCATCATGTACTGCTCTGGGCCCATGGCATTAGGCATCATTGGGGGAGGTGATTGTGTGGGGGGTGTTGTGTTGGAACTGCTAATAACATAGAAAACAAGTTTATAAGCATAGCTATCGCCTATGCGATGAGAATGTCAAGGTAAAAAAAAAAATGGTACAGCTGATAATAGTATCAGCTGACAAAAGTTGATAACTCTACTTACTCTAGGTCTAATAGTATTAATGAGCCAGAAACGAGAAAGAAAACCTAACAATCAGACCAGATGGACGGACATGAATGCCAAAACATAATACATCCCATCTTAAGTCAGGTGCATAAAAAGAAAACAATTACAAGGTTAAGGAATACTACAGATTGTATACCTGGTTATGTTGGTTGGCTGGCTAGTCTGACTATGATTGATTCGATGGCGTAGTCCTTCAGAGCTATGTGTGCTTCTTGATGTGTAGGAGGAAGAAATGGTACTGCTTACAGTTTTTTCCTTTATATGAAAGCAAATAAAATCATCGGAAAGTTGCCAAAATTAATTTACTTGAAATTACTTAGGAAAATAATTTATAGAGATATTACAGTCAATCTTACATGAGGTTTAGGAGATTCATTAGCATTTTCCATGGATGGAGAACAAACTAAATGGACTGTATGGTGAACTTTTTCTTCATTCTGTAAGAATACAAAAATGATTAAATATCCATCCTCATTGTGAATAGTGTTCATTTTACTGCAAAATTTACTTATAATCCAAAATGATCTGATTCTGTCCTAAACAAACTCAATTAGAACCGATAATCACTGGGTAAAAAATTGAATATGCAAAACGACACCCCAAATGTGTGGTTATACCCAGCGAAATTGAAACTTTTCATGAAATCACCAATATGCCTTGACTGTAAGTTGAAATATTTTATAACTCAAACATTTGATCGACATTGATTATCAGCTTTTTTGTATGGAAAATGTGCATATTTAAAACGAGATAGGAAGTTCGTTATATGAATTTATTTTACCTAATTTTGACCATTTAAATTTTACAAAATGAATTCAATATTTTTAGATATTTTGAAAAAAATAAAGTGATTCAGAAATACTTTGGAACGTTCAACCTTATTTCATTGGATATTGCACGAGTATATTAGAAATGAATGCATGTAACAAAATTCAATTTTACTTCACAGGTGTAGAAATCCTCCTTAATGAAGCTTACATCACAAACATTGAGTATTTTATTTTAAATTCAGTACCTGGATGATAATTTCTTTCAATGTCATTTCATCGGCTAACAACTTTCCAGAGTATATTAGCCTTTGCTGTGTTTCTTTCTGAAAGTTAAGAACATTAAAATGTAGTAACAGTATTATGTTGATAAATGATGTTGATTAATAATTATGGTGCCTGATAGTTTTTATTTATAATTTATTTTTTAATACTTATAGAGCACTTTTTAACTCTCTAACATTGCATCATCTAATATGAATTATCAATTATTCGCTTCAATCAAAACGTATATTCATTTTGCTATATTATATGATCAGGGAGTAGACTTTCTAAAATCAACAAAATCTATATTTACACTCCATAGGTAATGTCCTTTTAAAGTGCGATAAAAGCCTCTAGACTACTAGTTAGAATAATCTAACTGTGTCTCGGTACAAGCCCTCACCACAGGTAGAATACGTCCCATATACTTGCAATCAGGGCTTTTAAAATTGCCTAATGTTAAAATTTTTTTCCAGAAAGGTGTAAATTTCCCAAAAAAAAATATTAATTAAAAAATAAAAGTCCATCAAACTTAATCGCAAAAAAAAAAAACCCAAACAAAACACATTTGCAAATGAAAGAAATGGTCTTTCTTTTATTTGTAATTAATTACAAAATTTTGAATATAACCTGAGCATTATGAACAACTTTCCAATTTAATTTGATTAATTTTTAAGCAAGATGCTATGGCATTCACAATTTTGAAAGCGATCATCATAACAATACACTTAGCAGTTGCTTATTTGTTTCTGCCCATAGGCAGGTGTGGGGGTACTTTCGTTTTATGTTCGCTGCAATCACACATGAAGGGCTGATCCACACATTGCAAATTTTTGAGGCACCCTTGCTTTTCAAAAATATAGCTCGAAAGTATGGCAAATGCATTTACCCCTGTTTGAAATTCACAATTCTGGAGAAATCAATCATAATGATCGCTTAATACCCAAATAAAATTATAATGATTATATATAATCTAATTGTAGTAGTTTCTTTTGGTAGAGGCACTCCAATTGCGGCAGAGAAGAAGATTTTCAAAGAATTCGCAATAAAATCGTGGCATGAAAATTCACAATTTTGTCAAAATTCTATGTACAAAACCATTCGACAACCATGTATTTACCTTGATTATCAAAAGTATTCCAACAAGAAAACATTTTTTTTCTAAAAATTAAAATCGAGTTAACCCTTCAAATGCATTTTTTAATAGATGAATTTAATTATATTATTTTTAATCCTAATACATTTTTTAATTCTGCATACTGCAATGTGTTTTGTTGTAACTGTTTTAAAAATAATTTAAACGTATTTCTGTTGTTGTCTTACTTTTATTCCAAGCTGCATGAATTGTTTTATTTTTCAACATCATAAAAATCGTGTTCCAAAACGTTCCATGAATATTACACGACCATGAAGTCACATGACTTTGTACCAAATTTGGAAATTGGTTCAGTGGTTGCAGAGAAAAGCTGAAAATGTTCAAATGTTAACGGACGGGAATCTAGGTCCTTGAGTTTACTCAGGTGACCTAAAAATGTATACAATTACAGTGCAGAGTATCTTGTTATGTAGTTTCGACAAAAACCAGCATTTTGGTTTCAAAAATAGACATTTCATTTAAACATTAGTAAGCTGCACCTAGAAACATACCCGCGCTTCGGCATGTTCAGTTGTATTGGTAAAAAGTTGCCCATGTGATCGAGGAGGTGTTGTGGATGACTGTCACGCAGTTGACATATCCGCTATATCAACACTCAAAGATAGTAATACAAAGCTATACTTTCATAAAATGTTTGTAAAACCAGAGTTAGCATTGATGATAAAATGCTAGAAAAGCAAAATTTGAGGATTTTTTTTAAAATGAATTTGTGTTATCCAACTTTTCCCAAAATGACGATAATTTTCCCAATTTGAACGGCCCCGGCCCCAGTCCCAAAAAGTGGTGTGAGAGCCCTGTGCAATGTTGCAATTCAGAGCGGATCCGCTCCGAAATGATTTTGAAGAATATAAAATGATTTGCACTGGAAATAACTACCAAAATAATCAAAAAACTTTTTTGAGATTGCTTATGCCTTTTATCCCAAAAAATAATCCATATAAATACGAAAATCTAATTAATTTTCTCAACGTTTTTCTCTCGCTTCAAATTTACCTGCCATGTTTACATTTCTCTAATGTTCCTAGTAAATGCACTAACAAGTGTGTTTCTTTTGCTACATTAAAAGCCTTTAAACCGGGTCTACAACATCTTTTAACGAAATTATTAAATTAAAATTATTAAATTAAATAAAAGCATTGAACTGTAAATTATAGATGTTCAATGCATCATAACACTGACAGCTGTGCAGACAAATTTTCATAACGTACTAATGTGCTTTTGAATTTGCCATTCCTGCTGTCTACGATATGACATGTTGAGTTTCAAAAATTTACAATTCAACACCTAGTTATCACCCCTTTAGCCAACAGATACACAGCATAGTTTTAACACTCACAGGGTTACTAGGGTAGACGACCTCTAAATGCCTCTTCAACTTCTTCACTGTCCATCCTAACATACATTCAACCGTGTGATCCTCGACTCTCTGGTTAGGAGCACGAATGACCAAAGTCACGGGTACATTTATATCCATCCTATTAGACCTATAGAAAACAAAAGTGGAAGTAAACAATTACAACTGAATTAAGCTGCAGTAAAACTAGCTTTGCGGGTGTCTTTTATTTCAATAATTCTTTTGATAATTAAAGATATCAGTATTTACCAATGACATACAATTAAAACAAATGAAAATCACCTTCCTTACTTGCTCAATTAGACTGTGTTTTGATAAGAAATGTCGAACTTCAATATGACGTCACTAAGCTAAAGTTGGCGTTTTTTGATTGGATGGAGTAAAAACTTTTAAACCAAAAGTAATATTTATCACATATATAATTTTGTTTTAGCTTCAATCAATCTTTGTGAAATCTAATTTTATTCATCTTTTAAAATAATTATTTTCCACGGAATTTTCCGACAATCAACGACACTACAATTATTAGAATATCGAACCCGATTCTTAAATAAAAAAAAATATATATATACATAAACGGATCAATGATTGAAGTCCGAATTTTCTGTTGGCCCATGAATTATCGTTAAATTTTGTTCTGCTTGACATTAAATGTTTTCCCTAAAAATTATCGTTTTTTGGACTGTCAGATAGAGCTTATTGCATCGGGATCAGATGCCCTTTGTAAAGTCTAGAGAGATTCCGATCCAGGTTATGTAAACTTTCTTTTTGACAATGGAGACGACACGCGTAAAGGAAATATTACAGAATTTTATATCAGGGATAACTTCTGCTGAAGAATGCTTTTGCTTAATAGTTTCACTTGATGGATACGATTCTACCAGACAACATTTTTTGGAGTACATTGACGCTTTACAGCTCACAAACACAGAAAAGTACCATCAACTTTGCAACATTTATGTAAACTACTTTGAAAAGCCTCCTTCTGACACGTTCACGGATCCAATAGGTTGTAGTGTTGAGAATGGATATTTGACGAGTGACTTTGGGTATGAATTAGATGTAGAGCTTGCATCTGCGCTTTCTATAGAACAGAAAGAAAACCCAGAATCTTCATATGCCAGTATCCTGCATGTCAAATCAAATAGATCTAGTGTATCTAATTCAAAAAGTGAAGTAAAGAAAGCTCAAGTCCAAATTACAGAAATATCTAAAGCTTCCAACAACACAGCATCAAATCAATCTTCCAAAAAGAAGAAAAAGCAAGGCAGGGCAAGTAGTAAGAGTTCGGATAAGCAGCTGCAAAGACCTGTACTATACTGGCTCAGGAGAGACCTTCGCCTGTATGACAATCCAGCACTATGTGCAGCAGCCAGCATGAACTCACCTGTAATATTAGCTTTCCTTTGGTCAGAGTCTGAAGAGGATCCAGACAATGTTGTGGCTGCTGGGGGTGCAACAAAATTATGGCTACACCACGCTTTGAAGGAATTAAACAAATCAGTTGCCGACAAATATGAAAATGAAATAATATTCAGAAAAACAGACTCATATCAGAAAGAAATTATGAAATTGATGGATGAAACTGGTGCTAAAACATTTATCATTAATGATATTTATGAGCCATTTCTCAAGCAGAGAGATGACAAAATTTGTGAACAGCTTCAGAAAAGGGGAATCAACTGTAAACGTTTTCCTTCCTACTTGTTACATGAGCCAGACTCAGTGTCCACCGAGTCCCTTGGGATGAGAGGTATTGGCTCAGTGACTCACTTCATGGAGTGTTGTAGACAGTCCTCTACTCAGCCCATAGGACATCCTCTGGAGGCCCCCGGGACACTGCCCAGACCTGAACAGTATCAAATCAGCATGTCTCTATCTGACTTAGGACTGGCAAAGATGCCAAGGAGAAAAGATGGAACTATTGTAATTTTTTACCTTAATAGTAGTGTGATTCATTTGAAACACATTTTAAATAATTTTATTTGCACTGTTGTCAATTTGTATATTACAAATGTATATGTTAAGTCCATTATCATGCAGAATCAGATTTCTCATATTTCTGGAAATCAAAAGATTTTTTTGCAGAAGCTATATTTCTGTTAAATTTTATAGACCATCTTTCATGTCTTTACAAATATTAATCCCCAAAATCAAATTTTACAGGGACTAAGATCCATGCTAAGAAGGGGACTTTAAAGAAGCAATTTTCAAGGGGAAAAAAGGACTGAAATCTGATTTTTGGCTAATTCATCTAATATAGTCTAAATCTGACAGATAATTTGGGACAATTTATTAAATTTTATGTAGGGGAACACTACTATGATTGTAAGCAATTAAAAAATTGTACAGTATTCTACATATGATGGAAGTCATTAATATATTTGAATATTTAGATTCGTTAACATGCATCTCATATCTTTAGATAAACTGGGCAGCACCTATTGTAGAAAAATGGGATTTTGGAGAGAATGGAGCTTGGAATGCTTTAGAGCTCTTTTTGTCTGAAGGTAAACATTCATCTTCTATGCCTCTAGGGGTATATATTAACTGTATTAATTTAAATTCAATAAATTGGCTAGATTTGTTTCCTTAACCATGTTCCTGTTTTTGTAGGTGTGAGGAAATATGAGAAGGAGTCGTGTCGGGCAGATCATCTGAACACCTGCAGAATCTCTCCCTATCTTCACTTCGGCCAGATCAGTCCCCGCGCTATACTGGAGGAGGCCAGACACATGAAATCCCCCAAGTTCCTCAGAAAGCTGGCCTGGAGAGACCTCTCCTACTGGCTGTTGTCTCTGTGGCCAGATCTCCCGTCACAACCTACCAGGGTCCATTACAGGGTACGACTATTTCATGGAGTTCTTTTTTGACTTTGTAGAGTTGAATAGGAAAATAGTATCAATCCAAATAAACAAAATTTTTTAAATAAGAATTTGGGGAAAAAACCCAAATCAATTCTAGGTCACTCACTCCCTCTCACATCCAAATATATATGATATTTTTTATGGTATTTTTTTCATCAAAGGATCAGGCCTGGAGCAGCAACAGGGATCACTTGAAGGCTTGGCAGAGGGGAAGGACAGGGTTCCCTCTGGTGGATGCTGCTATGAGACAACTGTGGTTAGAGGGGTGGATCAATAACTACCTCAGGCACGTGGTGGCTTCCTTCCTCATATCCTACCTCCGTATTCACTGGGTGGAGGGATACAGGTGGTTCCAGGTATAAACATGATTTATTTATATCTTGCATTGATGGTTAATTTTATTGATTTTTAAAAACATATTTTGAATTTGATTTAATGTCTTTAAAAGAAGAGTATACCAGTATATTTTTTTCCCCTGACAATATCATAGCACAGTTTTTTGACTATTCATTACTGTATTATAGGAGTAAAATAACAATAAAAATGCTATATCACTTATTTGAAGATTAAACCTAATGTTTTCACACTGTCTTATGATAAAATTTCTCACTGGATTACAAAATAACTGTAACTGCATGTACAATTGGAACTATAACAACAAATAAAATTACTCGTCATTGTCTTTCATTTAAACTTGGTGTAAAATACTTCAAATATTTTATTTAATGCAAAATTAGTGTGTACAATGAATACAGAAATCAATATAATCTTTTATTTAAAGAAAGGGTCTTTTTGACACTGTATTGTCAGTACTAATTCATGGTAAGCTTTATAAAGAGAGTAATTCTAAAAGACTGAAGTAAATTGAAGGATTTCAACAAACGATTACTTATTTAAGGATTTTTGTAGAAGAAAGCACTGAGATTTATTGACATTATGAATTATTTAGGACACTCTGCTGGATGCTGATGTGGCTATTAACGCCATGATGTGGCAGAATGGTGGTATGAGTGGTCTGGACCAGTGGAATTTTGTCATGCATCCCGTGGATGCGGCCTTGACCTGTGACCCAGATGGGGCTTATGTTAGACGCTGGTGCCCAGAGATCGCCTCTCTCCCTAATGACTTCATACACCAGCCCTGGAAATGTCCCCCCTCCATTCTCAGAAGATGTGGTGTAAAATTAGGTGAGTTCCATACATGGATCTTATTTAGGGTATCCTTAAAAATTTGTGTAAAAAATCAGATATTTTAGCTCATAAGGGTAAAATTGGATCCTTATTGAAGAAATTAAATTGACTCATGGAATATGGCAAATGTACTTGAAATTTTTTGGATATTATTCATTCCCGATTTCCTACAAAGCAATATGATACGGGAATTTATTCTGTAAGGCTTAAAATTTGATGCTTTTGAAGCTTGTCCCAAAATTTTTAAACTGGATATGGACTGAACCCATCAGATTTTTTATTCTATATAATAAGCTCTTTCTATTTAATTGATTTCTACAGGAGAGACCTACCCTGCCCGAGTCCTGACAGATCTGGAACAAGCCAGGGAGCAGTCATTGTCTGACGTCGTAGCTGTACGCAAAAAACACCCGGAGTACGTAGACAGGCGGACAGGTAACGACCTTGTACCACTCCCCAATGGCCTCTGTCTGCCAGTCATCACAAGAATGGAGTTTAAATACAAATCACACCACCCCGAGGCTAAGGACAACCCCCACACAGCGGTACTCAGGGGGTACAGGTCAAGGAAAAGGGACGAAGCCATTGCCTTTGCCAATGAGAGAGACTTTATGGCAAGCACGATGAACGAATGTATGAAGATGAATGAAAGGAAACTCAGAGCAAATAATCTTCAGTCCTTTTCTTGACGTTGTGTATAGAGGATGAATCATTTCTTAGCTTTCATGGATAACACTGCAGCTGCTTTATTGTTTAAATCTAAATGAAATAATCCTGTGATATGTTAGAAACCTGTGAATGTTTATGAACTTGTGGAGGAAGCTCTCCTGAAATAATGCCTAATGCCATGAGTAAATTATTTATCTGGTTGAAGTGAATGATGAGATTGCTGTTACATAATTGTTGATACCAGACAGATTCTAGACATTACTCATGATCAGACTTGTTAACTCTCTTTTGCCCTGAGAAAGAAATGTAATACAGTAATTAAGGGAGCCAACTGGGGTTTTATTGTGTGAAAACTACAATAGAGAAACTCTTTAATTTAATAACATATGTTACTTACACTGACTTCAGTGTACATACCAAGTTTGGGGAAAATCTACCACCCTGGTATTTTATTGGACTGTCTCAAAATACAGGTACATTTACTATAGGATTACTTTTAGTTTAGAAAGTGCCAATTTTTCACAATTTAAAGCAAATTATACAAATACTACAATTGGAGTACCTGTACTATAAAATATGAAAGATACAAGGAATTTATACAAAAAATCATAAAAATGATTAAAAGAATCTCAAATTCCTATGTTTTATATTGCAAGAGGTTTTGACATTTTTATGACCCCCTCTTCAAGAGCTTCAGTTTATCATAATGTCAAAAGCACGCTATTACAATGTCAATCTTCTTGGTAGTCAGTTGAAAAATCACTTCAAAATCAGTTATATAAAATTGTTATTAATTTTTTTTAACCTATAATTTCTTAATTTTGTTAAATTTTATTAATTATTTAAAAAAAGGTTGCTTTAAAACAGAATGAATGCTTCCTTTTACTATGATATGCAAAGAATTGCACAATGGAAACCCCAGTCGATCCCCTTTAAGCAACTTTTTTCACTTAAGGTAAGTCACTCCTGAAATTTATTAAATCAAGGATTTTTTGAGAAGTATATTTTGGATAAGTACTCATAAAGTGTAACACAAAATCGCAAAGAAAATAGGGGGTCAGTGTGCATCCTACTGATCTATCTCTTTGGTTAATTACTTAACCCTTATTATATTTGATCAGATGTAAGCATGGCAATAAATATAATCTTATTTTACGTAAAATAGTTTGAATAATATTTATCATTAAACAGATCTTGCAAATTAATGGGTGTAAATTATTGTGTGACCTTTTTGCACTAAAATATAACATATTTGGTGTATTAAAAAACTTAATAGGCAATAAAAATTTTCTTATATCAAACTTTTTACGACTTAAGTGCTGATCAGTCACAAGTATCGAGTAGTTTAAAATAATGAAAAAAAGGTGGGGTCAGTGACGTTGATTTTGAAATATTTGTCAAAATATTTGATTTTCAGGCAAAAAATGGTGTAAATTTGATCTTGACTTCTTTAATATATTTTCATTTTTTGGAAAAGTTTGTTGAGGGAAGGTGTAAAAGTCTAAGAATATAAATTAAGACCTATATTAAATATTTTTAGCAATATCAAAACGGAAAATATTCTCCGAGTAAAAGTATGTGAGGGTAAATTTCCATTACATTAAATTTTATAAATGTGCAGATTTGCAGAATTTTCCGCTAAATATCCTTCCACCAAAAGAAATAGTCTCTCATAAATCTTGCTTCTTTGTAGATTTTTGAGCAGTTTTTTCATTGAATGTTAAAAAATTTACATTGTTGAATTTAGATGTTATAAAAATTGAATTTTAATAAGTAGTTTTGAAGTAAAAGCTTCTGCGTGAACTTTTCTAAAAAGCTGACGAGTGACTTACCTTAATTAACAAAATTTTGAAATTACATGTTGAAAAATTTAATTTCAACTTTTATTACTGATTTTTAAAACATTTTTTTAGCTGTCAGATAGGTAGATTGATGTTATTGTTTTAGGGTGTTATTGAAGTAAATTTAGAAAATCTTCTCTATTCATGGGTATTAAACATACTAACTATATAATTATACATCAGACCTGTTTACTCTTACGATTTCGCCTTATTTTGTACGGATTTTTAGTTTAAAGTACGTCTCACGTTTTGCCATTATGAAAATATGGAGATAAGAGATACACTTGTTTAGAATTGAGAAGTTAGTTTTCGTAATGATCTGTCTGAGTTTCATGCTTTTTAAATCGCTAAAAATAAATTCAAATTCAGTTATGTCGATTTGCCAAAACGCTGTGGTATAAAATGATCAAGATCATGTCATTAAACCATGTTTTAGTAATCAGAAAAGTAGTTATTCTCCATTTATATATGTAAAATTGATGGAAAGTGAAATCTTACCGGCAAATGCCAAATCTCACGGACAGATCTAATAAAAAATACTGAGAGGCAACGATATGGGTAAACAGGTCTGATACATGTATTGTTATGATAAGCAAGGTTTCCTCTTTCAGCTCTTCTAAAATTGTTAATTTCATGGCCGCAAGGTCAGGAATTCTGTTGTAAGTGCAGGGCTGTATTGATAATATAATGCATCAATTGATTCATTTCTTTGCAAATTTTTTTCTCTGCTCCTGCTCCTGCTCTCTGCTCTCATACTAATTTTATACATACTAGTAGTTATTATGAGCAAGGGCCCTTCTTCCAGAATAGTGAATTTCAAGGCCACAGGGTAAGGGGTACTGTAGAGGGGGCTCTATTGATTATATACTAAGAATGAATTAATGCTTTGGAATCTGCTCCTTGGTATCGACCATTCATAATGAGCAAGAGTGCCTTTTCCAAAATTGTGAAATGTGTGGCCCTATGGTCAGGGGTTCCTGTGGGATTGGGGCACTACTAATTCTTACAAATTACTACTGATTAATGGAAATAATTTTAATTTGTTGTTCCCCTACTCTGCCTATGGGTATTGAGTAACCAAACTAAGTGTGAACTAATGATGAGCAATGGCACCTCTTTCAAAATTGTGAATGTCATGGCCTCCGATTTAAAACACGAACCAAATTCACTATAAGGCCAATTGGTCTCTTGTTATTGTGAGGCAAGAGATACCCCCTTTAAAACTTTTTGGGGAAGGTATGTTCCTCACTTTTTAAAACCGTTGCCACTAGTCTGTGTAATTTAGTTCCAGCCTTCCTAATAATGCGACTCATCAATGAAATGCCAGTTTTTTTTTCTTCAGAAAGTAGATTCTAGATCTAATTACGTCATAAGTAAAAAGACAGTAATCAATAAAACGTCTTGGTATAACAAAAAAGCTCGATTATACAACTTTATTTATGTAACTATTGAAATCTTCAGCTTTTATTGGGAATGAATTAACAGACAGAATAAATGTGCCAAGAAGTTTTACATGTAATTGTGCGTAAATTCTACGAGAAACCATACATCACTAATGTCAATTTCATATAACAGGTGCCGTTGCTTCTACGCACTCGTGTACGTAATATCAGACTCCCTAAACTCAAAGAAAAATAAGTTAAATTGTTTGATACGCTGTACCCCTTTTTGATAATCACGTAAAAGATAAGATCTTAAGCTCCTAAATCATAACGATCACCAGTAAGTTTCGATCCATGGTATATGAGGAAAATGAAACATGGAAATAAGGAACAGTATTCAAGATCAATCGTTTATAAAACAATACAAAATAGGAGCAGAGCAAACAAGGACCTCAAAAACATCAGAGGTGGGATTAGGTGCCATTTTTTTTAAGTTTCCCCTGCCGAAGAAAATCACACCCGCCGTTCACTCCTTATGATGTCTAAAATCGAAAAAAAAAAACCATCGATAATTCAGTGTATCAATAATGGACTAACAGTTTGTATGAAAAACGTCAGTCAGCATTTGACTCAATGATAAATTGTATCTACTGATAATTAAGGTCACTGTATCGACCATAGAACTTACGAAACGAGACTGCTAAAATTCTGGTGTCATCAACTTGTTTGTCAATAATTTACCTCATTTTAGAAATTGTTCATACGCAGAGCATGCTTTTGCGTGTCGAATCAACTGAGATAAATTATACAAACTCCGTATGCAGGTGATGAAGGTGTATTGCTGCACAAGCAAGGGAAGTTGACGATAGAAAAGTTAAAGTCATCACGTTAATCATAGAGCTTGGTTTTTAGATTACCATTAACGTCTTTTTCAAGTAAAATATGAAACAGATGTGTCAGACTCTGGTATATTTTATCTCAAGCTCACCAGAATATATCGTATCGACATAAGAATGGAAATGTTGGAAGACCTGGTCTCCAAAAACAACATAGATATTGCTAATCAGAAACTAATGCATCTTTTTGATGTCAACTTCAGAGTACTTGTGTGCGTACAGTCAGAATGATTTTTAACAAAGTAATTTTGCAAATGACCAATGACAAGGGAAGTAAATTTATGAGTTCCATTTTTATTGAAAAAGCAAATGTCAATGGTATCAAAAAGCCCGGACTTTAATTTAACGTGGGTGAAGAGTTGTGTATAAAGTTGAAAAGTCGCAAGTTTTTAAGCTTTTGATTTTGGTAAAATCTTGTGATTTCAAATTGTTCAAAAATTCCTTGGAATTTTTAAGTATCCTCATCTGATTCACACCACTTCTTGAATAAATTGTTTTACAGTACTCTTGAAAGTTTCGCCTTACAAAGGGATGTTGACGATAGAAAAGTTAAAGTCATCACGTTTATCATAGAGCTTGGTTATTAGATTACCATTAACGTCTTTTTCAAGTAAAATATCCAAATATGAAACAGATGTGTCAGACTCTGTGGTATCTTTTATCTCGAGCTCACCAGGATATATCGTGTCGACATAGGAATGGAAATTACCATCGTTAATTGACAATACGTCGTCGATATATCTAAATGTTGAGTTGAAGGCCACAGCAAGTGTTTTCTTCTTTCATTGTATAAGATTTTGCACAAATACTGCTTCATATGAATACAAAAATAATTCTGTTAATAACGGGACGCAATTGGTACCCATAGGAATTCTAATAGATAGTTGGAAGACCTGGTCTCCAAAAACAACAAAGATATTGTCAATCAGAAACTCAAGCACCTTTTTGATGTCATCTTCGGAGTACTTGTATGTACAATCAGAATGTTTTTTAACAAAATAATTTCGCAAATGACCAATGACAAGGGAAGTAAATTTACGAGTTCCATTTTTTATTGAAAAAGCAGTTGTTAATGATATCAAAAAGCCTGGACTTTAATTAATCTTTGGAATCGTTGTGTATAAAGTTGAAAGTCGTTAGTTTTTAAGTTTTTGATTTTGGTAATAATCTATATAGCCCCGCCCTAGCACTAAAATTCCTGGAATTTTTATGTATCCATGAATTTACACCATTCTTGAATATATTGTTGCACAGTACTCTTGAAGTTTCTTCTTCACTACTGTTATTAATAAATATCTTACTGAGGAGTAAAGAAAGAGGCTTGGTCGAGCATTTACTGGAACCCTCTATGTAATCTTAAAATGTTTACTCGATATATCATCTAAGATTCATTTACCGGTGTTAAAAAGTAAAATTTAACCAGCTTACGTATACTAGTACCTTTTTCAATATAGTGTACCTAGAATTTCCCCCAGGAAAGATATTTAGACAACAGAAGTTATCTGGGCCTATCAATTACAAGCTGAGAATGTTTGAATCGATTAGAAATTGATTGATAGAATATGTAGAATTCAATTTTTGTTTTGTTTAACATCTCAATCCATAAAAATAATATGGAATCAGAAGTGTGCAATATGCAGAAGCTTCTGAGAGAGTAATGAGACGGAATTTTCCATCGATGTTGATCCTTGAAATTAATGTTAACCAGTTACTATTTACGACATCTCTTTTTTTTCACGATTCTTTTTCAGACTGATCGAAATACATCCGCTCATACTAATTTTCGCGATCGAGAAAACATTTACATATAGTTTATATACTACATATACGTCGAAAAATTAATTGGTGATCGTACGCTAGTTTTATACTATATATAAAACTGGCGTTCTGTATGAAACAAGCGCCTGTGAAAAGAACACGAGGAAAAGGTCACGAAACTGTTGGATATTTCTCGCTCACGAATAAAAACTGGTTTACAGTAATTGTTCATAACTTGAATTTATTGACTATAATGGTGAAATACAAATAATTTTAAATATAAATAAAAGTGGATTCGCAATTCCTGTAACCTTAAACCTATAAATATTGTAA